TTATGAGTCATTTCTTATTTAAAATGTACAATTTGATGTGTTTACATACATATACATTCATGAAATTATCACCACAATCAAGATAATAACCTTTTCTATCACCCCCAAAAGTTCTCCTGGGGAACCACTGATTTGTTTTCCATCACTGCAGATTAGTTTGCATTTTCTAGAATTTTATATAGTTTTTGGCCTGACTCCTTTCACTCAGCATAATTACTTTAAGATTCATCCATATTGCAGTGTGTGTCAAAAGTTCATGTCTTTTTATCACTGAGTACAGTTCTGTCACATGGATAAACTGAAATTTGTTTATCCACTCACTTTGATGCACTTTTGTGTTGCTTCCAAGTTTTTGGCTAAGACAAGTGAAGCTGCTGTGAACATTTTGTGCGCATGCCTTTGTTTAGATATATGCTTTTTTTTTTTTTTGAGACAGAGTCTTGCTTTGTTGCCCAGGCTAGAGTGAGTGCCCTGGCGTCAGACTAGCTCACAGCAACCTCAAACTCCTGGGCTCAAGCAATCCTCCTGCCTCAGCCTCCCGAGTAGCTGGGACTACAGGCGTGCGCCACCATGCCCGGCTAATTTTTTCTATATATATATCAGTTGGCCAATTAATTTCTTTCTATTATTAGTAGAGACGGGTCTTGCTCTTGCTCAGGCTGGTTTTGAACTCCTGACCTCGAGCAATCCGCCCGCCTGGGCCTCCCAGAGTGCTAGGATTACAGGTGTGAGCCACGGCGCCCAGCCTAGATATATGCTTTAATTTCTTTGAGTCCATACCTGGAATCGGAATGGCTGGATCACGTGATAGATGTATGGTCAACTGTTTAAGAGACTGGCAAACTGTTTTGGAAAATGGTTGTACCATTTTGCATTTCTACCAGCAGTGCAGGAGCGTTTCAGTTGCTCCACATCCTTATCAGCACTTGGTGTCGTCAGTGTTTTTAATTTCAGGCATTCTAATAGGTGTGCTGTGATATTTCACTGTGGTTTTAATTTGCATTTCTCTAATTACTAATTATGTTGAACATCTTTTCATGTGCTTATTTACCATAACGTATCTTCTTTGGTGAAGTGTCTATTCATATCTTTTGCCCTTTTTAATAATTGAGTTGTTTTCTTGAGTTTTGAGAGTTTCTTACATATTATATATACATTTATACATGTAGCTGCAAGTTCTTTCTCAGATATATGATTTGCAAATATTTTGTGCTACTCTATGGCTTGTCTTTTCATTCTCATAACATTGTTTTTCAAATAGTGGAAGTTATTACTTTTCTCAAAATCTAACTTATCAATATTTTCTGTTACGGATCGTGCTTTTGGTGTTTCATATAACCTAAGTTCACAGATTTATCTCCTATGTTCTAACCTATAAGTTTTATAATTTAAGGTTTTAATTTGGGTCTATTATCTGATCTGAATTCATTTTTATATATGATGTGAGGTATGGATAAGAGTTTATTTTTTTGTATATGCATGTAATTGCCCCAGTGCATTTGTTGGACATACTGTCCTTTCACTGTCCAATTGCTTTGGTTGAAAATCAGCTGTCTGTATATGTATGGATCTACTTCTGGATTCTTTGTTGTGTTCCATTGATCTATTTGCCACCGTTGCAGTAATGCCACACTATTTTGATTACTCTAGCTTTATAATAAGTCTTGACATCAGGTAATATTATTCCTCCAACTTCATCCTTCTCAAAGTGGTTTTGGTTATTCTAGGTTTTATGCATTTGCACATAAATAATAGAATCCGATTGTCAATTTCTACACCACCCCCCAAAAACCTATTGGGATTTGGATTGGAATTGGTTTTGATGGAAATAGATCAATCTGGGGAGGATTAAGCCAATGTTGCATTCCTGAGATAAACCCTACTTGGTGAGACTGCAAACCAGTTCAACCTCTGTGGAAAGCAATATGGAAATACCTCAAACCCATATAAGTGGATCTACCATTTGATCCAGCAATTCCACTACTGGGCATCTACTCAAAAGATCAAAAGTCACTTTATGAAAAGGACACCTGCACTTGAATGTTTATAGCAGCACAATTCACAGTTGCAGAGTTATAGAAACAACCCAAGTGCCCATCAATTCATGAGTGGATTAATAAAATGTGGTATATGTATACCATGGAGTACTATTCAGCTTTAAGAAACAATGGTGATATAGCACCTCTTGTATTTTCCTGCATAGAGCTGGAACCCATTCTACTAAGCGAAGTATCTCAAGAAGGGAAAAACAAGCACCACATGTACTCACCAGCAAATTGGTATTAACGGATCAACACCTAAGTGGACATATAGCAATAACATTTATTGGGTGTCGGGCAGGTGGGGGGGAGGAGGGAATGGGTATATATAAACACAATGAGTGAGATGTGCAACGTTTGGGGGATGGTCATGCTTGAAGCTCTGACTCGAGGGGGGAGGAGGGCATGGGCAATATACAGGATGTATAAACCTCATAATACATTATTGGATTCTACTTGCTAAAATATGGTTAATAATTTTTGTGTGTGTGTTCATGAGAGATATTGATTTGCAGTTTTCTTATAATGTCTTAGTGTGCTTTTGGCTTCATGGAATGAGTTGGGAAATATTCCTTCCTCTTCAACTTTCTGGGAGAAAATTGTGTCAAGTTGGCATTATTTCTTCCTTACATGTTGGTAGAATTCATCAGTGAAGCCATAGGGGCCTGGAGTTTTCTTCCATTGTGGGAAGGGTTTTAAACTACAAATTCAATTTTCTAAAATTGATTTAGGACAATTCAGGTTATCTAGTTCTTACTGGGTAAGCTTTGGTGCTTTGTGTTTTGTTCATAGCACCCCCTTGTCATCTGTTCCCAGCTGTATTCTATAGGCGAAGCGAGTCAGACTCGTTCAGGCCCAGAACATGCTTCTGCAGTCACGCCAACCACATAGGCCACCAGACCACCTTCTGTTGTACGCCAGAAAGAAGCAAACGTATTTGAATGACACGGGGTCACACGGCCGCGCTCTGGTTGGTGGCTGCTGCACTGTTTTGCTCTCCAGCCACTGAGGGGACGCAGCACTCTGAGTGGGCCGCAGGAGATGGCCTCTAGCGGGGTGTGTGACCTGCGGGGAGGGCTCCTCATTTGGGAATAATCACACGGACTCCTGGAATTCCTGAATGAGATACCCGAGCTGGCTCAGCCACTCGACCTGCTAGAGCCACACCTTGGACCTCCCAAAGACTTAGTCATCGGCCCCGGGCTCTGTACAGATCCGGAGGCCTGGCGGGGTCCCTGGGACGGGCACGCAGGGGCCACTGCTGTCACATGTACTCCAATAGTAATCAGGAAAATGACCCGTGGCGTTTGTGAAACGCCATCCAATAGTAATCAGGAAACCCATGGCGTTTGTGAAATGCTTCATAGCCAACCAAGCATTTCCACCTGGTTTATATGAGGCAAATGTTATCAGTCTCAATTTAAGAAATGTAGACAATGAAGGTAAAAGCGATTAGGTAACTTACTTGCCTAAGGGCCAGAACAGGTGAAAAAGTTGGGATCAAAAGAAAGATCTTGTGGTGGTTTAAAACGACTTCTGCAAAAAAAAAAATAAATAAATAAATAAAACGACTTCCGCAGATGCTGCGACACTCTTCTGTTCAAAAAGCTGCAGTGTAATTCCCGTCCCCGGCCCTGCTCCAGCGTGGGCCGGAGTTAGTGACCAGCTTCTACTAACACAGTGCGGCAGAACTGATGCTATTTTATGTGGCTTTCGAAGCTGGGGCGAGTGTGTGTGTGAGAGAGAGAGATAGAGAGAGCGTTTCTGTCTGCCTGGCTCTCTCTCCCTCTCCTCACCCCCAGGAATCCAATCCAGCTCCCAAGGTGGTGGTGGTAGGAAGTCACGTGTCTGTTTCAGCTGAGCCCCAGCAATGACCATCGGAAAGTGAATGAGCCTTTGGATGATTCGAGTCTTCCAGCTGAAGCCCCAGATGTCAAGGAGCAGAGACAAGCTGTCCCCACTGAGTCCTGTCTGAATTCCTGACCTCCAGAAACCAGGAGACACAATGACTGTTACTGTTTGAACCGCTACATTGCAGTTTATTTGTTACAGGGCAATAGGCAGACCAATAACTAATATGCAAAGTGACAAATACCTCCAATGGAAGGAGGCACAGTGATTCTGGAGCCCAGAGGTGAGGGGACCTCCCTCCGGGTGGGACAGGGGAGATTCTAAAGGCACATTCATGCTGAGTTTTGAGGGCTGGGTAGGGTTTTGGTTATTTGGATGAGGGGTGTGTGAAAGCACCCAGAAAGAAAGGCACAGACGTTTGAAAGTGCAGGGGGTGGTGGCAGGAAACCATGCTATGCCACGGTTACCATCTGGGGTGACAGAGAGCCAACCAAGGACTGCAGCAGGGAATGGCATGATCAGACAGAACGCAGGTGCTGCACATGCTCGCCTTGCGTTCAAGTAAGATGTCCACTGCCCCAGCCCAGGGAGGGCTATTGACTTGGGACTGTTTTTCTGAAACTGGAAACAAGTCGTGCTCTTTTGCCCAGTTGTCCCTGGGATCAACAGCTGTGAACGCTGGCCAGGACTAGCTGTGCGATCTCCATGGCGTGGAGAGAGGAAGCCACCTCGCCAGGAAGGCAGTGGGATGCAGAGCCTTTCTTTGATTCTTTAGCCAACATACTGGCCTCCATATCAACTGCTGAACTTGAAAAGTTTTACTTTAAAAAGCGCATCTGCACATCATGCAAGCTGTGGTGCCAATGCAGAATCAGAGAATCGAGTCTGATCAGTCAATGCTCGTGGACCTGCCTGGCCCTGTCTGTCACCCTCCCAGCTGACCACTCCTCAACTAAATCAGGGACTAAACATTCCGCCGTCTTCCAGCAGCTGCCACTGGCGGCACAAAAGTCTCAGAGCTGTCACCCTTCCCAGGGGCCTGGGGCAGGGAATCCCCTTTGTCATGGCAGGAAGCCTTGACCATGGGCACACGGACGCCGCGCAGAGCCACTAAAAGGAAGTTTGCCTGGTGGCCATGGTCCCAACATGGGAGGTGTCTTCTTCCTTCTCCTCTGGAATCTCCACCCCATTTCTCTTGGCGAAAATGCGGTTTATCTCCACAAACGTTCGGCCCTTGGTCTCAGGAATGACCATGTAGATGTACACAGCAGTGAGGAGGCAGATGCCCGCAAAGATGATGAAGCTGTAGGCGCCAATGGCCTCCTAGACCGAGAGACGAAGACAGCAGGAGGGGAACAGAAAGACACGACGGGACGGTTCTGGCTGAGGCTTTTGTGAGTCATAAAGGGGTTTCTTGGTGGGCTGGAGAAATAAAACAGCTAGAAAATTGGATCCCCCCCCCCCCAATATCAAAAAGGAATCCTTAGCCCTTTGACAATAGGGGCTATGGCCTCTTGGCCCTGAAAGTGCTGAGGATGCAGAGGTCAAGGTCAAGGTCGTGTGCACATCTCAGCAATAGGAAGCAGGCCTCAGGGGATTTGCTCCCTCTCTGGCTCCAGCTTGCTTTTTATTGCCTCTGACCTTCTGGGATCAGAGCCCCTGAATAATCGGCCCCTCACAGTGGAGTGGGGAGCTCCCTTCAGCGGTGGGAAGCTGGCCTGTTCAGAGGGTTTGGCTGCAGCGGGCTCACCTGACCACGTGCTCACCTGACCACGTGCTCACCTGACCACGTGCTCACCTGACCACGTGCTCACCTGACCACGTGCTCACCTGACCACGTGGCCTTGAACGCCCGGGAGAGCCCAGCACCCTGGCTGACTTCTCAGAGGTTCTTGGCATGAGGGGGCAGGCTGCAGGTTCCCTGGGGTCCCTCCTGCCGCAGGGCTGGGGCCGGCCGGCTGGGACAGGGGTGGGGACAGGGCCCTGGCTCACCTGGACCGACGGGAACACGAAGCCCACGATGAAGTTGGTGAGCCAGTGCACCGCGCCGTCCACCACGAGCGCGGCCGGCCGGGAGGACTGCAGGAAGATCTCGGTCCTCACCACGGCGGGGACGGGACCTGCGGGCAGGGGCCGGGACCAGTGGGGCCGAGAAGGCCGGGGTGGGCGTCCCGAGGGCTGGCGGGACGCGGCCTGTTCCAGCTTCAGAGCGAGACCCGCAGCGCCTCGCGGGCGCCCAGGAGCTGGGACGAGGGCGGGAAAGGAAGCCCACCCACGCCCACAGGGCCAGGGCGGAGACGGCAGGGGCTGGAAAGGTGCCCTGGGGCTTGGGCTCCATTGCCACGTTTCCTCAAGGCCAGTGAAGGTGTGTAGCAAAGAAGCGAATGGAAACCGTGCGGGGAGCAGCGGGAGGGGTTGCGGGAGGAACGCGCCCTGGGCTCCCAGGGGCTCCGGGCCGGGGTGCTGCCTCCGTCGGGCGGTCTGGGAACGGCAGCGCCTGCCGTTCTGCCTTTCTTCGAGGCTGAGTCCTTTTCTCAACTGTTTTTTCTTTTGTTTTTGTTTTTTTTAAACAGTCTCTGTTGCCTGCTCACAGCAACCTCAAACTCCTGGGCTCGAGTGATCTTCCTGCCTCAGCCTCCTGAGTAGCAGGGTCTACAGGCATGAGCCACCATGCCTGGCTAATATATTTATATATATATATTTGTTGTTGTTGTTTGTTTGTTTTTTAGTTGTTCAGCTAATTTCTTTCTATTTGATTTTTAGTAGAGATGGGGTCTCGCTCTTGATCAGGCCGGTCTTGAATTCCTGAGCTCAAGCAATCCTCCCGCCTCGGCCTCCCAGAGTGCTAGGATTTTATAGGCATGAGCCACCATGCCTGGCCTCAACTGTCTTTCTTTATTGCCCCCTTAAGGAGCTTTGTCTAAAATACCTAAAGCCTAGGAAACAAGTCTACTAAACTAAAAAAAATAAAAAAATAAAAAATAAATAAATAAATAAAATACCTAAAGCCATTTTTTCCCTCACCGCCATCCCATGAAAATGTATGCTGTATATCTGTTTATGTCGCGTATGTATATCTGTGGCTTTATGCACAAAACGAGTAAGATTCAGCCCCTCCCCGCAGTCTCCCGCCCTCTGCTGATATGGTCACGTTGAAAATGCGCGGCCTTGGGGATGCACGTGGAGGGGGATTCGGAGCCCCAGAAGGAAGCTGCCCTGGGGCTGTCAGGTGCAGAAGAGAAGGGTGCCTTCCTCGGGGCTCTGCTCCCCGGAGTGGGTGCTTCAGGAAGCTGACTGTCCTGCCTCCCTTTTCTCCACCAGGACAACTGCAACTAAGTGTCCCTTAGGACCTGGCTGAGGATGTCTCATCTGCCTCTGGTCGCCCCTGGTCACCACGTTCCTCCCGCAGGAGCCCGAGGCCTGCAGAGGCAGGTGGCTTGCTCCAGTGGGGGCGGAGGGTTGAGGACACCCATTCATTCTGCAGACATTCACCACGCACGGCAGGTGTGCCAAGTCCAGGAAGGACGGGGGTGGGGGAGGGGTGCCGTACTCACTGGGCCCGATGGAATGTCCCGAGATGTAGGCGAAGACACAGAGGACGCCGAGGTAGGACAGCTCAGGGACCGTGCTCTGTGGGGAGAGGCGGGGCTGTCTGGGCTGAGAGGGCCTGGCCTGGGACCTCTGTGAGCCTGGGGCTGGGGGCCCCATGTGCGGATCGGCCCACCTGCAGGGCCACCTTCCTGCCCCACCCGGATTTCTGACACCTCCATGGGGCTCAGAGGCTCTGTGGGCAAGAGAGGAAGATGAGAACAAGGGCTGCCTTCTACCGTTCAAGTTCACGGAGGGCTCCCTCCAACCTCACCTAGCATTGAGTGATTTATTTTCATGCCAGGTACCATTTTCTGCACTTCACAGGTTTTTGTTTGTTTGTTTGTTTGTTTTTGAGACAGAGTCTTGCTTTGTTGCCCAGGCTACAGTGAGTGCCGTGGCGTCAGCCTAGCTCACAGCAACCTCAGACTCCTGGGCTCAAGCGATCCTTCTGCCTCAGCCTCCCAAGTAGCTGGGACTACAGGCATGCGCCACCATGCCCGGCTAATTTTTTCTATATATTTTTAGTTGGCCAATTAATTTCTTTCTATTTATAGTAGAGATGGGGTCTCACTCTTGCTCAGGCTGGTTTCAAACTCCTGACCTCAAGCAATCCGCCCGCCTCAGCCTCCCAGAGTGCTAGGGTTACAGGCGTGAGCCACCTCGCCCGGCCTTGCACGTCACATCCAATCTTGCTGACAGCCCTCTGGAGGAGCATGTGACTGTTTCCGTCCTGCACATGTGTGGTCAGAGAGCCCGGGCACAGACCATGAGGCCCCTCGGTCCCTCAGGGATCAAGCAATGGCCTGAGTCACCCAATCAACAGGTGACGGGCTTGGGATCCAGACTCACTCTGGGGGGCATCCTTGTAGGAGCTCCGGGCCAGGGGAGCCGCCAGACCACCCTGTCTGTCCCCAAAGTCAGGGGAAGGGCTGGCGCAAAACCAGACCAAACGGGGCATTCCCAGATGAGCTCCCCAGGTGACGTGCTAATGACAGCAGTGATGAATGCTATGAGGGAGCAGTTGGCATTGGGGCTGGAAGACGTGGAGGGTGAAGGGCCCCCCTCAGGCTCCCGAGCAAGGGAGTGACATGACCGAATCCATTTCAACAGGAGGCAGGTGGGGGGGGTCGGGGGCATTTCAACACTTGGAGCAAAAGGGGAGCTGCCTAGGCTGGGGGGCCGCCCTGGACCTGGTGCAAGGGGCCGGCCGCTGGCTGTTTTCAGGCAGAGCCCTGGGTCGGACAGAGAAGTGAATGAGAAAAGCCACCGAGGACGCCGCCAAGGTTTCAGAGACGCGCTGGCAGTGCCCTCGGCAGACGACGCTCGTTTTTGTCCACCCCTTTCCCTCTTGCCCATAGGCCCCAAAGGTCCTTCTGAAAACTTTACATTTGTTTTAAAATTAGAAAAGAGGCCGGGCGCGGTGGCTCACGCCTGTAATCCTAGCACTCTGGGAGGCTGAGGCGGGAGGATTGCTCAAGGTCAGGAGTTTGAGACCAGCTGAGCAAGAGCGAGACCTGTCTCTACTATAATAGAGAAATTAATTGGCCAACTGATATATATATATAGAAAAAATTAGCTGGGCATGGTGGCGCATGCCTGTAGTCCCAGCTACTAGGGATGCTGAGGTAGAAGGATCGCTTGAGCCCAGGAGTTGGAGGTTGCTGTGAGCTAGGCTGATGCCACGGCACTCTAGCCCGGGGAAGAGAGTGAGACACTGTCTCAAAAAAAAAAAAAAAAAAAAAATTAGAAAAGAAAGTTCTTTCAACAGGAAGGTTTAATTAAACAGAATCATGAACGTCATGAAGGAGTTCAGAAAAGTTCGCCCCTCGCTATGACTCCTTGGTATTTTGAATTAAAGGCCCTTCGAGATCAAAAGGCACTGGAAGGGGCTGTCCCTCCAGCTGCATAGACCGGACTGACCTGTCAAAAGCACTCCTTTTGGACTCCCTTCCCTTCTCTTTATCTCACTGTACTGCAGGAAAGAAAATCAAGAATGCAGCTAGACCGGGCCCAGATCGTTTTAAACATGATACCTGTTTAAGGTTGCAAGTCAATCTGTTTCTCCCCATCCATTCATTCTCTCAAGTATCTATTCATCCTCTTCAGCAACCATTTATTGCCCCTAAACAGAATTTATCTGTACTCCTCATCTCTCCCTCCCTGCTAAAAAGAGAGTAAAAAAATATCTGGATCCCCCTGGGACATTGGGTAGTCACGCTGCGATTCTCCCCATGCGCAGCGTAAATAAACCTCTCCCTCTAATCTCTCTGCCTCCCCCAGGGTCACCAATCCTCGCCTCTCCCCTGCCCCTGTTTGCCTTGCCTGCCCCTCCACAGGCCCCGGATTGCTGGAGAGCCCCTGGACCCGCCAGCTTCCTCCCACAGAGAGGTCTCTGCACTCTCCCGGCCTTACGGAGAAAGTCGTCAGGGAGGTGTACCCCCATAGTATCCTCAGTTAAAAAAATAAATAAAGACATATAAAGACAAAAAAAGATAGCCATTAGGGAGAGGACAGCTTGGAAGAGAAGGAAAAGAACAAAGACCTCGTCTCTAGATCACAGAGTAAACTCTTCCCACACTCTCGTGCTCGTGTGTGTACATGCACGACTGTGCTTGCAGCTACGTATTTTTCATCTGAAAGGGTTTCAGTACAGTGGTGCAGTTACTGCAGGAGCAACAACGGCCAAGAGGTATCCGAGCAGACACAAAATGCTGACTGTTTTAAAGATACTTCCTATCATTTGTATCCACTGTCGGTGGGAACGTAACCTAGTACAGCCACTATGGAAAACAGCGCGGAGATTTCTCAAAAAACTAAAAGCAGAATTACCGTTCAATCCAGCAATCCCACTTCTGGGCATCCACCCAAAGGGAAAGAGATCAGTATATCAAAGGGACACCTGCGCCCCCAGGTGTCACGTTCGCTGCAGCGCCATTCACAACAGCAGAGATAGGGAATCTACCTGTCCTTCCGTGGATGCATGGATAAAGGAAACGTGGCGTCCATACGCAGTGGAATACTATTTGGCCATAAAAAAGGAATGAAATCATGTCATTTGCAGGAGCATGGATGGGACTGGAGGTCATTATCTTAAGAGAAATGAGCCAGGCGCAGAGAGACAAATATCTCATGTTCTCACTTGTATGTGGGAGCTACAGAATTTGATCATAGAGAAACCAGCCTGGAAAAGGTGCGTGGGGGGGGGAGGTGATGAAGAGAAGTGGGTTAAAGGGTACAGACACAGAGAGAAGGAATAAATTCAATGTTTGACAGCAGAGCAGGTGACTACAGTTAAGCAAAAGTGTATCGTACTCGGGAGATAGACACCCTGGACTCTCTGACTTGATCACTTTGCATTATATACATGTAACAAAATTTCACATGTACCCTATACATTTGTACAAATAAAAATAAATTTTAAATGTTCACATCGTGGCCATGCTATGTATTTTCTTTCTTTCTTTCTTTTTTTTTTTTTGAGACAGAGTCTCACTTTGTTGCCCAGGCTAGAGTGAGTGCCGGGGTGTCAGCCTAGCTCACAGCAACCTCAATCTCCTGGGCTCAGCGATCCTTCTGCCTCAGCCTCCCAAGTAGCTGGGACTACAGGCATGTGCCACCATGCCCGGCTAATTTTTCTATATATATTAGTTGGCCAGTTAATTTCTTTCTATTTTTAGTAGAGATGGGGTCTCGCTCTTGCTCAGGCTGGTTTCGAACTCCTGACCTCGAGCGATCCTCCCACCTCGGCCTCCCAGAGTGCTAGGATTACAGGCATGAGCCACCGCACCCGGCCCATACTATGTATTTTCATAACTTCTGTAGAACACGGTTAATAAATATAGGCTGCAAAACAATTACAAATTAAAACGGTGTATTTCCTGTTTGGGTGGCCTGATGTGTTTTTCAATCTTACTATGACACGATTCCCAACTTCTTTTTAGCCTCTCCCTTTACCATTTCTTTTCCCAGTTTGTCCCGGTCTGGTCTCCAAGATACTTTTTTCTTTTTTAATTCTGAGTTCATACAACAATGTAGTCTCTGCGATTCTCTTTTTATTCTTCTGCGTATTATGGGGCTACAAATGTTTAGGTTACGTATGTTGCCTTGTCACCCCCTCCCCAAGATACTTTTAATGCTACAGACTGACGCACAGACTGACGCACACCTTGCCATGGGCAGGGTCTCCTGAGGAGAGCTCTGTCACACTCATTACCTGGGGTGTTATTTTAAGGACACAGTTACAAATCAGCCCTAGCTCAGGTGCGAGAACATCACGTTCCTTCCTCCTTCCCTGCAGCCTGACCCTCGTCTTGCGTGTTGCTGTTGCTATTTCAATCGAGATTGTTTTCCTTCCTCTTGTCATAGGCAAGAGCGTTGGGTCACTAGTTATTTTCCCTGGATGTTTATTCTGTAGTCCACGCCAACCCCTGCTGTCACTCCTTCTACTTCTTGAACCGGATGCCTCTTTAGGAACAGGTGTTCTCTGAAATCCACACCTGTTTATTGTCAGTAGGTGTTTTCTAGCACAGTTGTGCCCTCCCATGCACATGTGGACATAATGTATTTTATTGCAAACTGTCCTCTCTGTTTCTCCTTTACGTGACAGCTGGGCCGCCGTGTTTTTTTATTCGTCCGCAGGCCTGGGTGTAGGCGAGCCAAACCACCCCCGGCCTCCATGAACTCCAGGGTGGCGGCATTGCAAAGTACCTGTCCACATCTCTCACCTCCACCCGCCGCCCGACCCCCCACCCGGGGGACAGGGGTGCGTTCAGACCTGGAAGAGGAGTGCCAGGGTCAGCACCAGGCAGGCGGAGCCGCAGATGCCGTAGCCGACCAGCAGGAGGCGCCGCCGCCCCAGCCGCTCCACGAGGAAAGCCTGGGGGGGGGGCGTGGGCCGTGAGGAGCCTGCAGGGCACCCGGGATTCTTGGGGCGGCCGAGCCTCCACCCCCTCCTACGCGTGCCCCTTTCTCACCTCCCTGCCTGTGCGTGGGATGCAGGCTGCCCACTTTGACGCGTGTTTGACACTCGCGCCCTACACCAAGACCCTTCCTACTTCCCGTCACTCACAGATCTCCCAACTGGAACGACCACATTCTCTGGTCTCTGAGATGCTTTGACACCTTGGGACCTTGCTGGCCCTGGAGGGACTGCCCCTCCCACAGTTAGCCAATTCCTAGAGGGAGCAAACAGCGGTCCCCGAGAGAGTGCCTCTCTCCTGTGCACGCCAACCCAGGCCCACCCCCTCCACCTCCTGGGTGGGGCTCGCTCGCTCGGCCGCTGTGCACTTGCCCGATCACCCAGGGCCACGTCCCCCGCCACGGCACGTCCGCCCAGAGCCTGCCCAAGCTATTTGCTGTTTACTGAGCTGACACTAAACCTGCCTGCCCTGCCTCGCCCGTTCCGTTCTGCCCGTCCCGTTCTGCAGGAACCGCAATAAAGCGTCTTGCTCACATTTTCCCCTCCGTTTCTCTGTGCCCGACTGGCCCGGAGCTTCCTGTGAGGCCACCGGTGTGGCATGGCCTGCCCCCTCCTCCTGGGAGCTGTGAGTGGCAAACTATCCTTTCAGCAGCAATTGTCTCACCTGTTGGCCTTGCCCTACCTGAGTAACAACAAAACCTGCGTTTAAAGACAGACTCGCCCCTTCCCCAGTGCTCCAAGCTCCGCCGTGCCCCTTCCGGGGCTAGCATTCCTCTGCGTCTATGATAATCCATTTCTGTGTCTGCTCCATCCCTACACTCCGACCCAGGGCCAGGCCCTGCACAGTCACTGCACTCATGGGACTTCCGAGCCTCCCAGCAACCCTACGGACAGGGATTGTCACTGCCATTCGTTGTGCCAGGAGCACAACGGCAATCCCAGCATTGCACAGAAAGTGTCAGGGAGACAGGTCCACCCACCGCATCTCCTGTGCCTGGCGCCTGGATGCTGCCCCTCCACCTCTCTCTGTCTCGGGATTCTCCGAGTAGGCAGGCGGGAGGAAGGTCCTATCGTGATCATTTACCCTAGAGGAGGAGGGCTCTGAGGATACAGGGTGGATCCTGCCCCAGGGGAACAAAAGGGAGGGGCCCAGGGGACTCGCAGGAGGAAGGGGCTAACAACTGGGCCCCGGGGCCTCCTGCCTCCTCCCCTAATTCTCTCGTTGTCCTCTCCTGCTGTTTTCCTTCACTTTTCCCTCCCTGTCCCCCTAAATCCTCTGTGAGCTGATTGGGACTTCAACTAGTTCCTGGGAAAATACAAATAAGCAATAAATAATTTCCTAAAAAGACATTGACTCTCACTGGCAACTCAAGAAATAGGAACCAAAGCGGTGTGCAGTGGCTCACGCCTGTAATCCTAGCACTCCAGGAGGCCGAGGCAGGAGGATGGCTCAAGGTCAGGAGTTTGAAAACAGCCTGAGCAAGAGTGAGACCCTCAACTCTACTAAAAATAGAAAGAAATTATCTGGACAACTAAAAAAAAAAAAATATATATATATATATGTATTAGCCGGGCATGGCGACACGTGCCTATAGTCCCAGCTACTCGGGAGGCTGAAGCAGGAGGATCGTTTTAGCCCAAGAGTTTGAGGTTGCTGTGAGCTAGGTTGATGCCACGTCATTCTAGCCTGGGCAACAAAGCCAGACTCTGTCTCAAAGAAAGAAACAGGAGCCAAAATAGTCAGACGCTGACTCGACAACGTGCCAGGTAAGGAAGTGTGACCATCGGCTTTGAGCGTGAGCGCGCCTCTGCGGAGTCTCCGTGAGGCGACACGTGCAACACAGCAAAAGTGACTCGGATTTTAAACATTAAACTCTGAACAAATAGTACTGTATCAACAAGAAGCAACGCCTACATCAGAACACAGGGAATTGCAATCACCATCACAATGGTTCTCAGGAAGAAGCTTGGATTGGAAAATATTTTGAGTCGCCTGGTCCAGGACACACAGGTGGTTAAGTAGGTGCACATCCAAAAGTGCACGTCCTGCAAGTGACCCCAGGATCAGGGCCACGACACTCAGCTAACTCCGTGGGGCTCCTGTCCACCTGGGGACATCTGCTCCGAGACCCTCCAGCAGGCAGGATGCCGCCCGGCCACTCACCGAGGCGACGGTCATCACTATGTTGATCACGCCGGCGCCCACGGTTACGTACTGGGAGTGAGCGGCCTCCACGCCCGCGGCCACGTAGATGATGTCCGCGTAGTAGTTGATCTAGACCAAAACACAGGGCTGTGCAGGGAGGCCTGGGCCACTGGCTCAGCGTTCCTGACTCAAGCAGCAGACAGTCCTGAGAGCCTGGGCTGGGGACCCCTGGCCAGGAAGGAGGGAGCAGCTGATGGGCAAGAGCCATGACTGGGGGTCAGGACGGTGAGGACAGAGCCCAGCCCTGCCCCCCTCTGAGCCTCAGGCTCTGATCTACGAAATGAGAACCGGCCCACACGGCATTTGAGAGCACTTTTCCCTCCGTCGCTTTGCTGTTCTGTGAGCTCAGACCCCACAAAATGATTTCTCAGCTCTTACTTTGGGCCAAGTCAACCCCCAACTCAGCTTATCTTCTGGCCAAGCACCAAGCACGTTGGCACAAACAGCACTTCTGATAGCCGTGTCGTGCTGTTCCCCATTTGGTGGCCCCCACCTGGGCTGTCCAGTCCTCCCAAGGTCTCTTGTTAAACATCCACAGATCCCTAAAGGCCCAGAGCCACCTCTCGGGCACTTCCCCGGGGGGCACCAACTGGGTTGCCCACCCAACCTCTGACGTTTCCGGAAGGGACCCTCGGTTTTTCTCAGATCTCCACCCCTCCCTTTGCTATGTCCACAGACACGGGTACAGCGAAAGAACCATGTGCACCAGCGTCACGGCTGGTGGACGCTCCCGACCCAGGCTGGGTCCACTGACCCCTGCCCTGGGGACCCGAGATTGGTCCCAGGAGGTCTCCAGGTCCCCTCAGTCTAGGGGTCTCTCGTAGAGAGGGGAAAGAACTGTCGGCTCGAAGCATTTTCCCTAGGGGACAGGGAAGCAAAGGAAAAGGCTCTGTCGCAAGAGAAAAATAAAGCCTACGTGGGGAGAGGCGGAGCAGACAGAACTCAGGTTTCCTCCGGACACTCTGGTCCTGCTTCGGGCTGTCCCTGGGCCCGGTGACCCCTGGCCTTGTGCTGCGGAATTCACCCATTTGCACATCGGATCTGGCTGGCTCTGCTTTCCCCTCCTGGCCAGGTCCCGCGTACCGCATTGATGCCGGACAGCTGCTGGCCGGCCATGAGCACCACGACGGACAGCAGCTGCCAGCGCAGCGCCCGGAAGGTGCAGAGGTTGAGCACGGACAGGCGGCCCTCGGCGCGCTCCGCCTGGGCCTCCGCTCGCATGTCCTCCAGCTCGGCCTCCACGTCGGCGTGGCCTCGCAGCCTCTGCAGAGCTGCCGGGAGCAGAGCGCCGTCCCCAGCAGCCCGTCCGGCTCGCTGCGGGCTGGACCTCCAGACCCCACCACGCGGCCCACTCTGACCGCGGGCTCGCCTCGCCGCTCCCCTCCGCCTGACCCCGGCCAGGTCCCCAACACCGTGGTTGTGACCCGATCTCCACCCCCACTCCACCCACCCACCCCGACTCCACTTTTAAGCTGCTGGCTCTCAGCCTCAACCCCCGGTGACTCCTACTCTGACCGCGGGCACAGCCTCCGGGCCGCCCCAGGGTGGAGGGGCTGGCGGAGGGCTTCCACGTACCTTGCCGTGCTGTGGCTTCGTCCCCTTTCTGGATCAGGGTGTAGCGGGGGCTCTCAGGGAAGAAGGGCAGGGAGAGCAGCTGAATTAGGGCAGGCACCCCTGTGAGCGCCAAGAGCACCGGCCAGCCTGCAAGGAGCCAGGTCAAGGGCTGAGGGATCCCCCGGGAGGGCTCCGGGCACCCCCTGGCTGGCTCCCTCCCCTGGAAGGGTCGCTGGCCCCTGGTGTTCCTACCCTTGGAGAGAACCCAGGTCCCACCCACAAAGGGGTTCCACATGAAAAATGGAGAAAATAATTATAATTTTAAAAGTACATGTTATTATTTTGCAGGATGAGCACTTTTCTCTTAGGGGTAGGATATGATTTAAAAGTTTGAGCCCTAGGCCGGGCGCGGTGGCTCACGCCTGTAATCCTAACGCTCTGGGAGGCTGAGGCAGGTGGATCATTTGAGCTCAGGAGTTCGAGATTCGCCTGAGCAAGAGCCAGACCCCGTCTCTACCAAAAAATAGAAAGAAATTAGCTGGACAACTAAAAATATATAGATAAAATTAGCCAGGCATGGTGGCGCATGCCTGTAGTCCCAGCTACTTGGGAGGCTGAGGCAGAAGGATTGCTTGAGACCAGGAGTTTGAGGCTGCTGTGAGCTAGGCTGACGCCATGGCACTCTAGCCTGGGCAACAGAGACTTTGTCTCAATAAAAAATAAAAATAAAATAAAATAAAAGTTTGAGCCTTAGAGAAAATGAAACTACGTCTTGTTCCTAATTTTATGGCTGGAATGGACATTAACCTCTGCCCCTCTGGTTGAGGAGCGGGTGGACCCATCATGTGCTGTGTGAGTTCCTTCTGGGAGGCTGGGGTGAAGGGGGGACCCTGAGATCCCACAAAGAGAGCAGGGTCTGCACCTACCACCTCCCGCCCCTGCCGGTAGTGGGGCCTGGACAAGTTGTTCAAGCTCTCTGAGCCTCAGTCTTCTCATCAGTAAAATAAATATAATAATACTAATAACAGTGTTAACAAATAGCAGGCACGGGGTGGCGAGGGTGGAAGAGGTGCCACGCACCCGCATCAGTGCAGGGCAGCTTTTCCCAGTCGATGCTGCCTAGTTAGTGTGCTTAATATTCAGCCGCAGTGGGCGGTTTGGGAGTCGTTCGTTATTCCTAACGAGTTTCCGTTGCAAGCCCCCGGAGTCTCCTCCCTGTCCCTTCTGGGTCCCATGGGGAATGCAAGGACACAGACCCACCCACTCAGGCATCTGTGGAATGTGGGTCATTTGAGAATGAGTGTGAACCACCCCCCACCCCGTGTTCCCGAGCCCCAAGCCCTGTCTGCTGCGCCCTCTTCTTACTCAGCCCTGCGTGATTGTGTCACACTCTGTCCTAAACCTCCACCCTGTCCCCCACCCTCGCTCTCAGGCAACCACCCCGTCTCCTGTTCCCTGAGAAAATAGAAACCACCAGAAGAAAACGTCTGTAGGCATCAGGAGCCACGCCCGCCCAGGTAATGGTGCACGTGGCTGCACCCGCTCGGCCCATCGGCCCATCGACCCCCTCCCTAGGGACCGTTCCTACAGCCGAATGTGCCGATACTGTTCCTGGCTTGAAGAAAAACCCCTCTTCCCTTGACCCCACATCCCCTTTCAGCTACCACCCACCTTCTCTCCTTCCCTAGGCTGCAAAACTCCTAAGAGCTGTCTACACTGCTCGTCTCCAAGCCTTTGCCTCCCATTCGGGAGCACAGTGTGTCCCCACCACTCCCCAGAACAGCCCTCACCAGGGTCGCCCACCGCGCTGCACACTGCCCAGCCCGAAGGTCACCTCTCAGGTGACCCCCATCCGACCCGATCCATCGGTAACGTCGGGCACAGCCGAGTCCATGCCTGGACCCCGTGTGCCGTGGCCCCGGCCGTCCCCCGGGGCTCCCGTGTGCTGCTGGTCACCTGTGGGGTTGCCCAGGATGGCGTCGAGGCTGAAGATCTGCGCTAGGAAGACTCCGAGGATGACGAAGACCTCGGTCATGGTCCCCAGTGTGCCCCGCAGGTTCTTGGGGGCCAGTTCCCCCAGGTACATGGGGAGGGCGCTGTAGGAGATGCCTGGTTCGGGCAAAGCAGAAATCAGGGGGGCGAGGAGCCAGACCCAGCTCCGCCACAGGGGCCTGAGGGTCCATCCAGACCCCACCTGTCCAAACCCCGGAGCGTCTCTGCACTGCCTGCCCTCTGTGGAGTAGCAAATGGGCGCCGGGCCAGCCGACGACCGCCCGGAGAACAAAGTTGCCTCCAGAAATGCCTCGGGTGGAACGTCCCTGGGGACATCCACCAGTGAGAGCGAGGACACGTTTCCTTTCTAGCCTGCGGTCGGGGGGGGCTGGGCGACTTTCGCAACTATGGGGGGGGGGGGTGAGCGCCGGAGCGTTTCTTTTTTTTTGTTTTTTTGCTGTGTTGTGGGGGTGCTTATCTGTATTATGTTTATTTTTCTGTTTTTTTTTTTATTATATTTATTATTTATATTTTGTTATTTATATTATTTTCTATTTTTTTTGCTTCTTATATTTTCTTTTCTCTGTTATTTTTTTTTTATATATATATATTTATCTTTATTTTTTTTTTTTTACTTTTATTATTTTTTTCTTATTTCTTTTTTTATATTTATCTCTCTTTTCTCTCTTCTATCTTTTTTTTTCTTTTTTATATTCTTCTTTATTTCATTTCTTTCTTGTTTTGTTGTGGTTTTTTTTTTTTTCTCCAGGCCGTGCGTGATTGTGTTAGGCCTTTCTATGGCGTCTTGCGTTCATTAGTTTTTCGTATATATACATATTCTCTGTTTTTGTATTGTCTAATTGATATATATTCTTTTTTTTTTTTTGTTTTTTCTCTGTCTCTATCTTTATTTTATATTATATTATTATATATATTTTATATTGGCAATTCTAATATTATTTTGTTATTTTATATATATTATTATTATATAAATATATTATTTATTAAAAAATTATATTCGTATTTGTCATATTTTTTTTTTGTTGTGCTTATTGCTGTATGTGTTTTCCTTCTTTATGTCTTATTTTTCTCTATGTGTGGTCTCTATTCAGTTTATATTATTGTCTTTGGTATTTCATGTATTTTTGTATTGGTTTTTTTTTCTCTTTGTTGGTATGTTTCTTGTATCTTCTTTCTCTTATCTTGTTGTCTATTCTTCACTCTATTCTTCTATTTCTATAATATTATCTTCTGTTTTTATATATATTTTTATATAAATAAATAAATAAAATAAAATAAACTGTATGCTCCTTGGAAGATACCTTGTGAGACCTTAACTGGTGACTAGTATTCCGAAGGGTAAAGAGGGTGGGCATTGGTTGTTATTTACGTTATATTGTTTTGAGACAGAGTCTTGCTTGTTGCCCAGGCTAGAGTGAGTGCTGTGGCGTAGCAGCTACACAGCACTCAGACTCCTGGCTCAAGCATCCTCCTGCCTCAGCCTCCCGAGTAGCTGGGACTACAGGCATGTGCCACGAAGCCTGGCCAATTTTTTCTATGTATAGTTTTAGTTGGCCAATTAATTTGCTTATTTTTTAGTAGAGGGATGGGTGTCTCACTCTTGCTCAGATGTCTCGAACTCCTGGCTCCAACGATCGGCCGCTGGGCCCTGCCAGCAGCTAGGATTTCAGGCTTGAGCCACACGACCGCCTGGCCCCGAAAGTGTGTTTTCAAAGGTCCTTCCCCGATAGAAGATTTTGTTAAGGGAAGGGAAGGGCTGGAAAGCGTATGGCTTGCAAGGGCCTGGGAAGGGAGACAGGAGGATGCGGCGACAGGCAGTGCCAGCCGGACTCTGTCCACCCTGCCTCTGGCCGAGGAGCCCCTTCCCCCGCGGGTGAGCCTGCGCTGGGCCCCGCCACCTGCACAGACGCCCAGCACCACGCGGGAGCAGATGATCAGCTCGAAAGCCTTGGCCGCCTTGCTGGCCCCCATCAGGACGGCAGGGACGACGGCGAAGACGTTGTTGATCAGCAGGGCGCCCTTCCTGCAAAGACAGCAGGACAGACGCGGCTCATGCTCTCCAGACCTGGCCTCGGCGGGCGGGCGGGGGTGTGTCTGCGCGAGGGCTGGCCGGCCGGGCTGCACACTGGATTGTGTCCCGGATTCATCCGTGGAAGCCCTTGATCCTGATGTGACGGCGACAGGAGGGGGCTGATTAGGTCATAGTGGGGGGATGCCCTCGTGATGGGATTAGTGCCCTCGTACGAAGAGACATGCGAGAAATCTCCTTTTCTGCCCCGTGAGGACACAGCAGCAAGAGGAAGGCCGTCTGTAAGCCAGGGAGCCGCCCCTCACCAGGGACCGAATCCGTCGGCACCTTGATCTTGGGTTTCTGGCCTCCAGAACTGGGAGGAATAAAGGTGTGCTGTGCAAGCCACCTGCCTGTGCTGTTTCGCTACGGCAGCCTGAGCTGGTCAGGACAGGTGGGAATCGTGAACCGGGAAGCAAGGACAAAAGGAGGGAAGAGTTGGGGTCACTGGGAGTAGGGCTGGCGGAGGGCATCTTCCTAACAATCGGAGCTGCCGAGAGACGGTAGGGAAGGAAAGAGGAATGGGCTGCCTCAGAAGGTAGGGAGGCTCCCGTCACTGGGGGTAGTCAAGCTGTCACTGGTGGTGTCTATACCATACACGATGATTGGTAGGAATGTTAAGCCGGGGTTCCCACAACAGGTGGGATGCAGAGCTGGACTAGGTCATTCCCAAGATCCTGTCCGAGGCTGAAAAACCGTTAGCCTCTAGAAGGAAGGGAGGAAAATAGAACTATGTGGGGTGCATCCGGCGCCTTTGTGACGCATCCCATCGTCCTGACTCTGTGCCCTATCCCGATGCGGGTGGCACCAACAGTTCCCTGGCCCCTGCCACCTCGCCTTCGGCTTGGGCTTTGCCCAGGGAGAAGGGCGTGGGCCCGGAGGGAAGAGGGCTCCCAGCTGTGGGGGTGCTGGTGTCTTCTCCCTCCCTCCCTCCTTCCACCTCTCTCTCTCTCTCTCCTCGCGCGCGGTGGGCTTGACTGCTGTCTCCCTCACCCCTTCAGGTCAGGAGGGCGAAAGCTGCCGCAGGCCAGGCACGACCTTTGCTGATCGCCCTCTGAGGCCCCCGGACCCTGACTGGATGCAGGCGGGCGGGCTGCCCGGGTGAGGCCGACGGGCGGGCGCGGCCGGGGGGCCGGCAAGGGCCTGGCGCCAGAGCAGGGAGTGGTGGTGGCTCTCCTGCCTCAGCCACCACTGACAGCTTACCCAGGGAGTCCACAGGGACCAGGGAGCCCTACCAGGGCAGCCCCAAGCAGATTGGTGCTTCTCCAGGCCACTTGTGTGTGTCTCCTGGGGCATGCCGACAGCCCAGAGAGCAGTGGGGCAGAGCGCCCAACATGGGGAGGAGCGGAAGAGTCGCCAGCAAGCAGGAATGAAGGCGCTACCCATGCCGTTCCCACCCTCCTCTGCGCCTCCCAACCCTGCCGGCCGACCAGAGGTGTCAGCCTGGGGGAGGGGGGGAGGGCGCTGGGGACCTCTCGCTGGTAAGGAAGGGTCTCTCAGATTCCTGGGCTCGAGCCTTCTCAGTCTGCAAAATGGATGCCCGAGTATGTATCCCTCCGGACCACCAAAATTCTGTGACTGTGGGTGTTCAGACAAGGAAGTGATGAGGCAAGCCTGGGCTTCAAAAACAGTCCAATCACTCTCAGTGTAGCTGGAGAACAGCTCCTAAAGCCTGCTTTTGTATGTTGTGGCATATCTAGCGTAACACCAATACCATTAAAGATGTTTTCTTCATTCAAGTGCACACATATGACAAATTAACTGTTTTTTGTTTTTTTTTTTTTGAGGCAGAGGTCTCACTTGTGTCCATGGCTCGAGAGTGCAGTGCCATGGGCGTCGAGCCTTAGCTCCACAGGCAACCTCAAACTCCTGGCTTCAAGCGATCCTCCTGCCTCAGCCTCCCGAGTGAGGCTTGGCCGATACAGGCCATGCGCCACCATGCCCGGCTGATTTTTTCGTTCGTATATATCAGGTTGGGGCCCAATTAATTTGCCTTTCATATCTTATGGGTAGAGACAGGGTCTCACTCTTGCTCAGGCTGGTTTTGAACTCCTGACCTTGAGCGATCCACCTGCCTCGGCCTCCCAGAGTGCTAGGATTACAGGCGTGAGCCACGGTGCCTGGCCAATAAGTTAGATTTTGAGAAAAAGTAATAACCACAGGCCCGGCCTCATAATTAATTTTCAAATCTGCACTATTTTCTTTCATGCCTGCAGACTGAAATGCTATGGTTTCTCGAGTCGGTTTCCTTAGAGGGCTCTCCACTCATCCTGCAAACCACCCAACTGGGCACATCAAGTCCAGGTGTCCCTGTGAATTGTGAATGAGTGGGGCCTGATCTCCTGGAATGCCACCGTGCCCCACCCTGAGACCTTGGCCCTCACTCTTACTTCCTGGGGACCTTGACCCGTTCATCTTGCCTTATCTGTTCAGTCACGTTTTTGAAGCACCTGAGCAGAAAGGCAGAAAGATTGGTGACTCTGTGTAAGACAAGCAAAGTACAAAGACCCGCCTAAGTCTTCATTTCCAAGCTAGACAGGAGCTGGTGGCCCGTGGAGTGACTCAGTCTGGCCCCAAACCTGGGCAACAAAGTCTGACGAGTTTGTGCAGGGAGGGGCTGCAGCTACTGGAACTTGGAGCCACGAGGTCAGTGGACCCCGAATGGAACCCCATCGAGGAGCATGCACCAAACACCTGCTGGAAGTGCTTACGAGGCTCTATAAAGTTGGGGACCATCAGGAACTTTGGTCTCAAAGGCTGCCCCGCCTCTGCGGGGCTGATGGAGGGAGTGCTCTCCCCCTGCCACTCGCTGCCCAGGAAAGAAATGCCAGAGACAGCCGGGGACTGGCTTTAAGGTCACCATGCCTTTGCCAAAGTGGAGACTGGATTTCAGACCTCCTGGTTTTTGGGGTCACATCATCTCCCCACCAGGTGCACAATGGCCAGGAGACAGTGTGGCTCACTGACGCGAATTTCAAGTGAGAGCATCGAACCTTCTGTTTACCTGCCACACCGGTCAGCCAGCAGGCTGACTATCAGCGATCCCAGCAAGCCGCCCAGAGGAAACACGGACACGGTGCAAGACCACAGGAGCAGCATGACGTTCTCGTCCATGAAGGTGGCGTGTCGCTCGAAGTAGGTTTCATTGTAGAACGACTTCAAGACCTGGAAAACATTGCCCCACCCACAGCCAAGAACACTGTGCAACTCATGAGAAACGATGACATGTGCGTGGTCATTGGCCACTTCTCATCCTGCAGAGGGGTATTTCTGCTAATACCTCTGGGACACGATCGAATCTGTTAATTTCCTGCTGTGACCTGACAGTAAACAAATCTACCGTGTGATGGGTTGAGCTGAAGAACCACCACAATGCACAAAGAAAAAATTGTTAAAAAATTCACTGTTAGGGCCGGGCACAGTGGCTCACGCCTGTAATCCCAGCACTCTGGGAGGCCGAGGCGGGTGGATCGTTTGAGCTAAAGAGTTCAAGACCAGCCTGAGCAAGAGTGAGACCCGGTCTCTACTATAAATAAAGAGTGTAACCCCATCTCTACCAAAAATAGAAAAAATTAGCCGGGCACGGTGGCGTGCCTCTGTAGTCCCAGCTACTCGGGAGGCTGAGGCAGGAGGATCGCTTGAGCCTGGGAGTTTGAGGTTGGTGTGAGCTAGGCTGACGCCACGGCACTCTAGCTGGGGCAACAGAGTGAGACTCTGTCTCAAAAAAAAAAAAAAGAAATTCACTGTTAGAAAATTCACTTTTAGAGCCTTGCTCTGCCAGAGGCAACATAGGAAATATTCTTACTAACTGCATGACTTTAGGCAACTTTACACGGCCTCTAAAGCCTTAATTTCCTCATCAGTTATAGAACTATATCTCATAGGGAATTTGTGAGCATTAACTGTGATAAAGGGGTGGGACAATGCTTGACTCAGAAAAGACATTCCATCAATGGTAATAATTATGAGTACACTAATTTATGTACATATGTAATACACTCATATGTGTATGTGTACATGTTAATATATGTATATAAGTATATTGGTATGTGCCATGAGCAATTACTGCAGTAGCTCCTATGAAGCAGTAGCTGTAAATTAATGACATTGATTTCTTAAAATACTTAAAAATACAGCAGGACTCAAGTAGCCCCATAAACGATTACTCCACCTGCCCCACCTGGAGGCTAGCTCCCAACCCCTCTGCCCCTTCAGAGACCGCCTCCCTGTGGTTGTCCCCATCTGCCCTGCATCCCTGGCCTTTCCCTCTCTGCTGCTCCCCTCCCATGAGTTCACAACCCGGCTCCTGCCCTAGAAAGACCTAATGTGACCCCTCATCTCCCTCCACTAAGCGTCATTCATTTTTTTTTTTTGAGACAGGGTCTCACTCTGTTGCCCAGGCTGGAGTGCAGTGGTGTGATCACAGCTCACAGCAACCTCGAACTCCTGGGCTCAAGTGCCCCTCTTGCCTCAGCCTCCCCAGTAGCTGGGACTATAGGCACTCACCACCGTGCCCAGCTAATCTAAAAATTTTTTGTAGAGACAGGTGTCTTGCTATTGTTCAGGCTGGTCTCAAACTTCTGGCCTCAAGCAATCCTCCTGCCTCAGCCTCCCATGCCCGGCCTAAGTGTCGTTAGTCTCTCCGTGCGGTGGAACTCCTCGGAAAGGCTGCCCGTTTGTCTCTGCTCCTCCCTCCTGTTCTCTCTTGAACCCCCTCCAGCTGAGCTTCTGTCCTCAGCTCTCTCCTCGGCTGACCTTGTGAGGGTCACTCACACCCTGCACAAGGTCAAAGCTGTGGTCAGTCCTCGGTCCCCGCCTGGACTCATCAGCACAGCCGCCCCCCCCACGTTAGTGGGCTGTGGATGCTCCGCCCTCAGGCCCTCACCTGCCTCGGGCCTCTTCTCTTTCCCTTCACTCCCCAGCCCCTGTCTCAATCCCTAAATGCCATGGAGTTCAACCTTTGACCCCATTCTCTTTGTCGTCTCTGAGGGCCTTCCCAGGGTGAGAGCGGTGGGGCTGAGGACGGAAGATGCTGGGCAGGGACTCGAGGTCCCCCTGGGGTCCCAGTGTGCCAGGAGAGGACAAGACTCCTGGGAGCAGCACCTCCGGTCACGCCCCGGTCCTCAGAGATGGTCATCCAGGAGGCCAGGGGAAGACGGTGGCCTCCCACCCCGCCAGCCTTGCCCAGCTGCCCGCCGGCCGCCTGTGCCCACCTTGTGCGGCGTGTTGACCACGGCGATGTTGTAGCCGTACTGGAAGGCCGAGCCGAAGGCCGCGCTCAGGGTGGCCAGCACCAGCGTGGGCTGCAGCCGCTGGAGGAGGTGAAGGCCAAGGTGCCGGGCACGATCGGGGTTCCACCGTGGTGGAGGCGGGTGGGGAGCCCTGTCCGCGCCCCAGGAAGGAGGAGGCGTTGGCTGGGTGGGGGAGGCGGCCCAGGTGGGAGGTGCTGTGTGGCATGGGGGGGTGTTTAGGGAAATGTGTTGTACCAGCAGGCGCTGCCGTGTGGGGAAACCTATTGCCACGAGGGAGGCCAAAAGAAAAAAAGCGGGAGAGAAAAGAACACCCGGGCGGCGGTGGCTCCGCTGGTACATCCTAGTCTCTGGGAGGCGAGGCGGGCGTATTGGCTCGAGCGTTCGCGAGAGTCGACAAACCCAGCCTGAGCAAGAGCCGAGACCCCTCTCTACGTAAAACAATATAAAAGAAATTAATTGCCAACTAAATATAGAGAAAGTAAATTAGCCGGCCATGGTGGCGCATGCCTGTAGTCACAGCAATATCTCGGGAGGCGCTGAAGGCCATGGAGGACGCTTGAGCCCAAGGAGTTTGAGTTGCGTGAGGCTCTGACGCCGACGGCACTCACTTCTAGCTGGGCCAAACAAACGAGGACTCGGTCTAAAAAAGAAAAAAAAAAAGACAAATATGATGATTCTAAACAGTGAGACGCTGTGAGGACAACGAAGCAGGGTGACAGTGGGGTCACAGCCAGTGGGGGCCGGGGCTGTGTTCAGTGGGGGGCAGGGAGGCCTCTCTGAGAAGGTGCCCTGGAGCTGAGCCTGGGCGTGAGATGAGCAGCCGTGTGGGTGTCTATGGGGAGAACATTCTAGACCCGGAGCAACGTGCAGAGCCTTGAAGACCCACCACCTGCCTTTGGCTCTAGAAAAAGGAGGCTGAGCTCAGGGACGGGGGCTTTCATGGCTACCAGACACCTGGGGCAGCTCAGAGAGGGCTGAGCCCAAGGGCCAAGGTGTGAGGAGGGGCCGGGAGGGCTCGGTGGCTGCCTCCCAGAGCAGAGAAACCAGCTGGTGCCCAGCCACAGCGCTGCACCGGCAGGCCACCCTCTCCCTGCTTGCGCGCTGCACCATCAGCTGCCTGACCTGAGCCGCACTCCCTGTACCGGCCAGGCAGAGAAGGATTTGGGCATTGTTCAGAGGTGGAGTCCCCTGGTGCTTTAGGGGAGGGGACAGCTGGGGGAGGGCAGAGGGAGGTGCGTCTGCAGTGCCATCCAGCCCCCACGTCCACTAAGCCCTGGGGTTTGGGGACAGCTGCTTCCCTACACTGCTCTCCCAGGGCGCACTTGCTAGAAGCATCTCCAGGGCCTTCACCTCCCTCCACAGGTTCCCATACCTGGAAAGGGACGGGGACAGTGACAGTTTCCTTGACTTGGCACTTACCCCCTCCCTGGGTGGGGTGGGCAGAGGGGTTCCGGCCTCTTTGTTCTCCATCCTTGCTCAGGTGGGAGAACAGGTGCGCTCTACCTGCCAAATGACACCTTAGTCCTGCTGTGGGCTGGCCACCTACAGGACCTGCTGTTTCTCCCCTGAGCCCTCCTGGCTTTATGACCCTTCTGCCCTCTGGACTTGCCAACGTTTCCCAGGAGCAAATCTTAAACATGTTGATAAGAAACAGGCTGGTGTTTTGCCAGTGCGCAAATCACACACAGTGTGGATTTCGTCTTTGCCTCCGCCAAGCCCCACACCAGAACCTCCCCAGTCGCACCAAGGAGGGAAGAAACATCATCTGACATTGGTCCCTAGAGATCAGGAGTTTTGGAAACCAAGTCCGGCTGTGGCCTGGATCTGGGAGGCTTCTGCCCTGCCATTTCTCCATACACGCCTCCTCTCTTGCGTTGGGATGAATCGTCCATGGGGGGAAAGAGAAAACTAGGTGGTTTTAAAGAAACACAGTTTTATTATTTCTAATTACACTTAATAGCATTAAATAAGTCCATAAAATATTGGGAAAAGGTGCTTGTTTCAGAATCGTCTCTACAAGCATTAAAAAAGGAGGGAGTGGCCGGGCGCGGTGGCTCACGCCTGTAATCCTAGCACTCTGGGAGGCCGAGGCGGGCGATCGCTCGAAGTCAGGAGTTCACCAGCCTGAGCAAGAGCAAGACCCCGTTTCTACTAAAAATAGAAAAAATTAGCTGGGTGTGGTAGCATGGGCCTGTAGTCCCAGCTACATGGGAGGCTGAGGCAGAAGGATCTCGAGCCCAGGAGTTCAAGGTTGCTGTGAGCAAGACTGACACCATGGCACTCTAGCCCGGACAACAGAGTGAGACTCTGTCTCAAAAAATAAAATAAAATAAAATAAAAAAGAAGGGAGTGAGCGAATTAATTATGACAAGTGAACTGATTGGAACACCAGGCGGCTGTGTCAACGGATAATCATGAAAATCATGTAGGAACCTGCAAACATTATGTGTCGTGTCTTGCATTAACATGGACTTTATGTGAAGGGACAGAAGCAGAGCACACTCAGTGCCATGGATGGTGGCCGGAGGGCCATCACAAGGCAAGGAGGAAGTGAGGTTCTTATTACTCCTGGGCACCCCTGACCTCTCGGTATTCTCTTAGGGGATCTGTGTTTTGCCCCTCACTCCCTCCTGAGTCCTCCGCAGCAAGATCAGTAACACTCCTGTTTCCACTAACCTCAATCTAGACTTTCCAGAGCTCGTCTCGAAATTCTTCCAGCCTCTTCCCATTGCCCAGTGCTCATGCCATTTCCCTATTTTGAGGTATCTAGATGTTTCAGCAGCACCCACTTCAATATCCAGTAGCAAAATCTCCATCAGTTTTCTGTTTCTGCCATAACAAATTATCACAAACTTAGTGGCTTAACACAACACAAATTTATTCTCTGAGGGCTTTGCATGTCATAAATCTGACACGGTCTCGCTGAGCTAAAATCAAGGTGTTGGGGCTGGACAAGGTGGCTCACGCCCGTAACCCTAGCACTCTGGGAGGCCGAGGCGGGAGGATCATCGCTTGAGGTCAGGAGTTTAAGACCCGCCTGAGCAAGAGCGAGACCCCGTCTCTACTAAAAATAGAAAAAATTAGCCGGGCGTGGTGGCACATGCCTTTAGTCCCAGCTACTCGGGAGGCTGAAGCAGGAGGATCGCTTGAGCCCAGGAGTTTGAGGTTGCTGTGAGCTAGGCTGACGCCACAGCACTCTAGCCCAGGTAACAGAGCAAGACTCTGTCTCAACGACAACGAATAAAAGGTGTCGGCACCCTGCCGTTCTGGAGGGGGAAGAATCCGTTTCTCTCTCGCCTTTCTCAGCATCCAGAGGCACCTGAGTTTGTTGGCTGGTGGCCTGGGGCTGTCTTCAAAGCCAGCAGCAGCAGACCGGGTCTTTCTCATGCTGCCCCCTCGCTGGTTCCCTTCCCTGTGATAACACTGGGCCCCCGGATAATCCGGATAATCTCCCCGCAGGGTCAGCTCGTCAGCAAGCTTGATTCCATCTGCACGTTTCATTCTCCTCCGCCACGTGACTCCGCATTTTCACAGGTTCTGGGAATGAGGACAGGGACGCACTGGGGACACCATTGTTCTACCAGCCGCAATTGTCTTCCAGTTTGTTTCTAAAGACAACGAATGCCAGTCCAGCAGATCTTTCAGCTTTATCAGCCAGTTCTTTGTTCTTCCGCATGCTTTCCGCACAGCGCAGTGCTCAAGCTGTTCTGGTGACACCGAGCAGGCTCGGTGAGCCTCCTCCGCCTTTCTCTGAGTCCGCCGCAGTGCAGCCAAGCTCGTGGCAAAACCAAGCTCCTTCCCGCTGCTCCTTCTGCTTAGAATACTCTTTCCTCTGGTCCCAGGCCAAATGTCACCTCCTTGGGGAGGACCCGAGAAGGACCACCCTTTCTAAAGCCACCCTCCCATCCTAGCACTCTGGGAGGCCGAGGCGGGAGGATCGCTTGAGGTCAGGAGTTCGAGACCAGCCTGACCAAGAGCGAGACCTTGTCTCTACTAAAAAAATAATAAAAAAGAAATTAATTGGCCGACTAAAAATATATATAGAAAAAATTAGCCGGGCATGGTGGCGCATGCCTGTAGTCCCAGCTACTCTGGAGGCTGAGGCAGGAGGATCGCTTCAGCCCAGGAATTTGAGGTTGCTGTGAGCTAGGCTGATGCCACGGCACTCTAGCCCGGGCAACAGAGTGAGTCTCTGTCTCAAAAAAATAAAATAAAAATAAAGCCACCCTCCCATTTGGCCCAGCACTCTCTAATACTGTCGCTGACAGTTATCTAAAATGGTCTTAAGTATTGGTTTACTTGTCTTTTTGACCATTAGATTCACTACCTGGCACACAGTAGGTGCTCAATAAATATTTGTTGAATAGATGCATGTCCTTAATTCATGATGCCTTCTCCTCTGCTGCCCTCCAGAACACCTTCCCTCCATTCCTGTGCAAATCCCACCCAATCCTGAAGACTCAGTTCCCAGTGGACCTCTTCCTTGAAGACCATTCCAGTTCACATTCATTCATCCAACATGTGTTAAGTGCCAACAAGGGCCAGCCTCCCTGCCAGGCACTGGAGCTGCTCGGGTGATTAAAATGTGCACAGCAGACCTCCAAACCGTACACAATGTTGGGTCAATTCTTACTTCCCTGTGGTTTCTTTTTGCATGTGGCACTTTTTTTTTTAAAATGTACAAAGAGCAGATGTCATTGGGCAGATCTCTTGGATATCCATTCAAGGAACATCAGTTAGCGCAACATGATGAAGCCTAAGTCCTTCATGTACTGGCAGAAACACTGGCCGTATTTCCAGATCAGATCATGCCAGGTTTGAGCAGAACTGGTGCTATGTATGGCTTGACTGTGTCCCCCAAAGTTCATGCTGGAAAGTGAATCCCCACTGGGACAGTGTTGAGAGGTTGAGCCTTTAAGAGGTGATTAGGTCACATGGCTCTGCCCTCTTGAGTAGATTAATGCTGTCATTGCAGGAGTCGGGCCACTATCTTGAGAGTGGGGTCCTTATGAAGGATGAGTCTGGCCCCCTCTCCCGCTGTCTCGCCCATGTGATGCCCTCTGCCCTATCAGGATGCAGCAGGAAGGCCCTCACCAGACGAGGCCCCTCAGGCACTGGCACTTCCCTGCCTCCAGAACCATGAGCCGAATAAACTTCTATTGCGTGTCAATTGCCCAGGCTGCAGGGTTCTGTCATAGCAGCACGAAATGGACTAAAAGACACCTGGCAAGAGCAGGAACCCTGGCCACATTTTCACACATGGCTCTGGTGAGCCACTCTACTTTTGGGGGTGCAGTGTAACAGAGTAGTCACCCCTCCTCTGATAGATAGAGAAGGGAAATATTGACAGTGGGGAATATGTAACTCAGGGAATGGCCTGAAAAAAAAAAAGGCAGAAAGGTTGTGTGTCTTTTTAAAACACCCCCCACTCCTTTTTGAGAACTAAAACCTGCATCCCTGCCTCAGGCCAGTGGTCAGGAGGGGCAGGGGAATGTCTCGTTCTTTGTGATAGAGGAGATGGCTCAGCCCAGTCCTGCAACGGAGGTCCTGGTGGAGGTCACAGGATTTCCTTCAGTGAGATGAGACTGAGATGGAAGATGGGACGATTGGTGTCATTAACTGCAGTTGAACAGCCATTACCCGAAGCTCAGAACCTGCCCTTTAAAAGCTCGGTATTTCTGCTTGTTATTAGGATGATCGCATTGCAGACAAGAGCCTCCATCCTTCTCATTTGCTGGCAAATGAATAAAACTTTTCTTTCCTTCTCCTCAAACCACTTGTTCTTGTTTTCCTGATGCGGCCTCAAGGACAAGTGCTGAACTTCCCGTGGTAACACAGGGATGCAAAAGGCGCGTGCTGTGCCTCTCTCCCCGGCCACGCTGCAAGTTCCCGAAGACAGAGACGCCGTGATGTATCGCTTCTGCGTTCCGGGGCAAGGCAGGATGTGGGACGACCAAAGCAAGCCCTCAACCCACCGGCTGAGGAACACTAGGAGAGGAAAGGTTCACAGGTAAGAGAATCAGATCTCTCCTATTTTTACCATGGAAGTCATGCAAATGTGGGTGTCAGGACACCAGCTTCCTGCTTCCTCATTCTTCCTCCAGGAATTTGGGGACAGCCTTGGAGAAAGCAGACCGAAGGCGACAAGACTCTGTCTCACTAACGTTCCGGATTAGAACGTCAGATCTCCATTCCTCCCGTAAGGGAAACAGCCAATGCGCTGCCAGCCCTGCTCCCGGGGTCTCTGCCCCGGTGGGCGGAGCAACGCCAGGATGCAGGCAATGCAGTGAGGTTTCGCAAAGAACAATCTGTTCAATTTAAAGGACTGAAATGCATTCTGCAGTTACATCCTTCCTAGACAGGAAAATGCTCTTTCTTTTTCAATATCTTTTTTCTCATTTTGATCGTTAATGGGAGCCGATTTGCTCTTCGTGTTCTTATTTGCAAAATAAAAAGGAGGCAGCTCTAGGTCACTCCACCACATTTCTGTCTAGTGAAATCCGGAAATGTGGAAACCGCTGGTCAAACCTACCTTCCGACTGCCAGATTTGGGTTGCGAGCCTGTCGCCTCGGGGCTGGCACGGCCTCCCCAGCTCTGCTCTTTCCTGCTCTGCTGCGAACCTTTAAAATCCTCCCAGCGGAGACTCTTCATTCAAAAACCATTTAATGAGCCACTGCTACGTGCTGGCCGCTGTTCCAGACACCGTGAATACAGCGGTGAGCCACGGGTCTGTGACCCTGCAGGGCCCCATCGCTGTCGCCGGCCAACACCCTGACCTTGACCCCGAGGCGGATGCGAGGGTCTTCCCACCTCCTGATCTCATCCAGTTCTCCCGAAGTGTCATTTCTCCTCTGCCTTCGCTTATCTTTGCAGCCTGCTTGGCCCCCGATGGTCTCCCAACTTTTCCAATCACGCCTCCTCACTGGTCAGAGAATTTTGACCGCAAACCTCCATTGCACGCATACTTACTTTTTTATATGTAACACACATGTACATGTTTCGTATGTGACAAACACAGGCTCAAACAGGAATAGCACCGGGAGGGAGGGAGTGCTTAAACAACTGGAGCTTCTAACCCGTCTTCCTGCCTTGCCCGCGGTCTCCACCCCAGCAAATGCCCTGCCTCGCCCCTCACACTGCTCTCCCTGGGGCCACCGAGTCATTGAACCCAAGGGGTGCTCCTTTCTGGTCCCAACCAATGGTAGGGCTGGTGGCTCCGTCCTCTCCCGGGGCCCCTTGTTGGATGGTGCGCCACCTCCCACCTCTCATCCTGCCGGTCTGGTCTGTCTGCAAGTGTGGGGCTTTCACCTCGGCTCAGTCTGGGAAGGATCTGACTTTCTTGCTCCCTCCTGGGCTCCCCAGACTCTTCCCCAGGGAAGCTGAGAATGATGCTTTAAATCGCAGATCAGCTCAGGACACTTTGGCTCAAATCAGCCAGTGGCTTTCTTTCCATCACACTTGAGACCGAATCCGCCACCTGCCAGGCTGCCCTGCTAAGTGTCTGAACAGGGCCGCCATCCTCTGTCCCCAGCCCCTTTCTGCTCCAGCCACTTGCCTCCTGTCGTCCCCTGAACCATGGCCAGCCCTCCTCCACCCCGAGACACTGCACCTGCTGTCCCCCGGCTGTCTGGGCTGGCTCCTGCCCTCCATGCAGGCAGTTCCCCCACCTGCCACCCGAGGCTAATCTATACATTTCTTTACCGTGCCTCTCAGGAGACATGGTTTTCTTCATTGCTGCAGCCTGGAGCAGTGCTGGCACACAGGAAGTGCTGAAGAATTTATGGTTTCCCCCCAAACCTACGTCCCTGCTCCCCTGAGCTCTAGAGCCACACGCCAACTTCCTGGTGGACACCTTTAATGTGTCCCATGAGCTCCTCCATCTCAACATGTCCAAAAATTATATGAACTTTTCTCCCCAAACCTGCCGCCCAGCTCCCCAAGCCACTGCCCATGGGCCCACATTAGACACCTGGCAGGGTCCCCGGACTCCTCACCTCCAGGGCTGAGTGGTCCCCGAATCCTGCTGTCACTCTGAGTGCCCCTCATGTTTGGTCCCGACCACCACTGGCTTTATCGGACCCTCACTGTTTCTTACCGACGGGTGTCCCTGCCAGGCCCTGCCCTCCATGCCACCGCCAGGCACTCCCCAGACACCAGGACTACTGTCTTGACGATCGAGTCCAACTCAGCTTGGCCCACGAGGACCTGCAGGATCTAGACAGCACCCCCACCTTTCTGACTTCACTCCCACCTTTCTGACTTCTTGGAGCACCCCCAAAGCTCTCCGCATCTCTGTGCTGTCTCTCAGCCAGAACACTCATGCCTCACCTGCCTGCTGCATCTCCTCCAACTGGGCAAATCTTGTCTTTCTGAATTCCTCACCTCCCTTCTATATTCCCATACCCCTCTCCTCCTGCTGGATTTTACTAACCCAGGTATGGACGCTTATCTATAAACATTTCTTTCTTTCTTTTTTTTTTTTGAGACAGAGTCTTCACTCCGTTGCCCAGGCTAGAGTGCCATGGCGCTACCACCGGCCCCCCCGAGACTCACAGCACACCGGTCGCGTCAAACTCCTGGGCTCAGCGATCTCCCTGCCTCAGCCTGCCTCCCGAGTACGCTGGGCTGACAGCATGTGCCACCATGCCCGGCCTAATATTTTTCTATTATATTTAGTTGGCCAATTAATTCTTTCTACTTATAGTAGAGACGGGGGTCTCGCTGTTGCTCAGGCTAGTTTGAACTCCTGACCTGAGCAATCCACCCGCCTCGGCCTCCCAGAGTGCTAGATTACAGCGGGACCACCGCGCCCGTGCTCTAATTATTATTTTCACTTTATCAAGCCATAGTTTTGGTGAACTGAAAAATACACACCAGTGTTGTGTATAATAAAGATGAATAGTCCCTCCTGAGTAGCAGGGACTACAGACATGCACCACCATGCCTGGCTAATTTTTTCTGTATATATTGTTAGTTGGTCAATTAATTTCTATTTTTAGTAGAGGCGGAGTCTTGCTCAGGCTGGTTTCAAGCTCCTGACCTTGAGCGATCCACCCGCCTTGGCCTCCCAGAGTGCTAGGATTACAGGCGTGAGCCACCACGCCTGGCCTCTACAAACATTTCTATATGTAGCCCTCTGAATCTATATTAAGCTGCATGAGTTCATCCCAATGTCTCCAAGTCTAATCTGTTACCATGTGGATCATTCTAGACTCCTTCTTGTTGGTTGTCTGTAACCTCCCATGGCAACAGTGAGGTGGCTCCCACCATGTGCCACCCACCTACCTGACTGTTCCATCCCAGGGTGCCTGCACATGGTCTCTTGCCGAGTCTGACTTGCAGGTTTGTCTTCAGTTGAATGCACATTCCCAAGCCCTTATAAATACCTAAGAGCACCTAATACATGCCAATGATCTCAACACTGTAAACATATAAAGTCATTTAATTCTTACAACAGCCATATGAGACATTTATTAGGTCCATTTAACAGAAAACTGAGGTACAGAAAAGCTAAGTAATTAACTTGCCCAAGTTGCACAAGTATTATGTGGCAGAACCAAGGTTTGAACCTGGGGTTAGATGCCCAGAATCACCAACTCCACAGCCTCCCCATGTTAGAGGTGCTGCAGTCCCTTGCCTTCCGATATCCTCACCTGGCCGCTCCTCAGGGACCACATCTCTGGCTGTTTCTGTGCCCCTTCCACATGGCAGACCCCTGCCTCAGAAGGTCAAGGATGGTTCAACCGCAGTGTTACACCATTTACTCCCTCTGGGCCTTCACTGCTCTTGTGAGTTATTTAACTTGCTGCTGGTGGAGTCCCCATTCCACACCCACAAAAGGAGCTCCCAAGTCCCACTGCCGTCCTGCCCAGCCCCTGGCTTCTGCCTCCCAACTCTAGGAGATGCCACTTCCCACCTTAGGCCATTTGGCACTTTCAAGGTTTTCTCTGTATTTTTCTACACATCATCCTCTTCTCTGTCTCTCACACACACATCCCTTTATTTACATCTCTAAGAAAAGCCTCCAGCTCTGCCATACTTGTGGCGGCCGGGGGTGGGGTGGGGGCGGGGCAACTGTTCCTTCTCTTCTCCCCATCCCCCAGTCTCACCTTCAGGACCCTCAATACTCACCACACACCTGAGGATGTGCAGAGACCTCCCCAGTCTTAAACTCAGAAACTCACGGCTTTGCTACCACCTCATCTCTCACTCTACCCCTCCTGCAGTGGAGATGCCCGAGAGTCCTGCCAGGCCGGGCCCCTTCCGGGCACTGGAGTTCAGGGATGAACAAAACGGGCCAAGCCCTGTCCCACAAGGAGCTGGCACCCGCAGGAGCAAGGACCCACCTGCCTTCCACCTGCTCCAGGAAAGAGGCACACCTGAGTGAAAAGTGATCAGCTTTCTTTTATTGGCCGTACAGAAGCAATTCCATTTCCTACAGACTATATAATTTAGAATAATTCTCAGTTACTACCCCCACAGGGACTTGCTCCCCAGATTTCTAGATGTCGTTAGTTCCGTCCGACCTCGCGGTTTCCAAAACAGGTGTTTCTGGAGAAGGATGTGATACGAGGACGAATGTGGCTCTAAACAAATGTCTGTGGCCTCAGAAGTTTCTCTGGTGAAACTGAAATCCTATTTTTGTTATAAAAGCTGTGTCATCGGGAGCCACAGCCAGGCGGCGCGGGACGGCTGCACCCAGCCAGGCGGCGCGGGAGCGGTTGGCCCGGCTCGGGGTGGGCGGCGGGCCGGTCCGGTCCAGAGCGAGGCGGCCCGGCTCCCGGAACACACCACCGACGCCCCGGGCAGTCGCGGCCGGGGCTGAGGCCTGCGGTCTGCGCCAGCCTTCGCTTATTTCTGGACGCTCGCAGACAACGAGAAAGTCAGAAGCAAAGGCGGAACAGGGAGGCCCCGCGCAGGCTCGCTGCGCAGGCTGCCCCTGCCCTGAGTTACTGCTCCGAGCTGACCGGCGGAAGGTTCTTCAGCTCCTCCTTTTCAGGGTGGATGTCTGACACCTTGTTCATCTTGATGAAGATCTGGTTGATCTCCATGAAGGTCTTGCCCTTGGTCTCGGGGACGATCATGAAGGTGTAGATGGTGGTGAGGAGGCAGATCACGGCGAAGACGATGAAGCTGTAGGGGCCCAGCCCCTCCTGCGGGGAGAGGCGGGCAGGGGGTCGGGGCTTGGTGACCGGTCCCCGCTCTACCGAGCTGGGGTGTCAGTCTGGGGCCTGGGGCACACTCACCTGGATGAACGGGAAGATCAGGCCCACCACGAAGTTGCAGAGCCAGTGGACGCTGCCGCCCACCATGAAGGCAGACGGGCGGGAGGACTGCAGGAAGATCTCCGTGATGAGCAGCGCGGGGATCGGGCCTGGGGGGAGCGGTGTGGGCGCCAGTCAGCGTGTGCCGGGGCCGAGGCACCCAGGCGACGCCCCTCGCGGCCCCGGACATGGCCAGTGACCCCCTGCGGGGCCCGCTCTGCCAGGGCACGGGCCGCATGTTTCCCATGCTGTTTTCCCCCCAGTTGTGCTCCGCCAGCCCCCTGCCCCCCGGGAGGGGAGAGAAGCCAGTTTGGGGCTGCGCTGGGGCTGTAGGGGGAGGAGGGCAGCTTTGGTACGTACTGGGCCCGAGGGCGTGTCCCACGACATAGGAGATGACGCAGACGATGCTGACGTAAGGCATCCAGGATATCGTGTCCTGGGGGAGGAGACGGGCGGTTCACACCTGGCCCAGCGAGGGCGACCGGGACGGGGCCCTCAGGACCCTCGGCCCTCTGGGGCAGCCGACCTGCCCTGCTGGGGGGAGGACAGCGCCTGGCCCCTCCTCGGCTGCGCCGCCTCTACCAGCCACGGGGAAATCTGCGGAAAGTGGGCCCTGGGCCACTAGCGGGTGGACACACCCCAGACATCTGACTGGTGGTATTTGCTGCAACAAACCCATTCTGATTCCTCTTTCTTTAACAGGGCGGGAGCGGCGCCCCTCACCTGCAGCGCCAGCGCCACCGTCAGCACGCAGCAGGCCAAGAAGCACACGGAGAAGCCCAGGAGCAGCAGCAGCCTCCTGCCCAGCAGCTCCACCACGAACACCTGCGGGGACACTTGCTCAGGGGAAGCCCCTCGCCTGGTCCTTCTGACAGGGCCACGGAGAGGAGAGCTGGGTGGGCCACACGCACCCGCCAGAACGTGCCCCTGGTGGCCAGCGGGGCATCTGGCTGTGCCTCTGGGCCCAGCTGCCCAGACCTGAACGAGACTCCACCCCTAGGGGCTGCTAACGCCTCCAGCCCCAAATCTTAGGGTCCCCACAACACCTGGAAGCCACACACCGGATTCACTTAAGAGTCCAGCCCTTGGGGGCCTGGCTTCCTCGGGGGTGGCCTAGCCTCACTCCAGGTCCTGCCCAGGCTCTGCGCCCAGTGCCGGGGCCCCCAACACCCCTGTCACACTGTGGCCCCCAGCTTGGGTACTTGGGCCCTGCACAGCTGGGCAGCTCCAAATGTGAGACGCCAGAGCAGAGCCACCTTGCTGGGCGGGAACATCTGGGGTGGGGGCCACGGGTGACCCCACAGGAGAGCTCAGAGGCGGGGGCGTGGGGCCCTCCATCTGGCCCCCTCCTTGGTCCGACCCTCTCTTCCTTGGTCGAGACAGGCCCTCAGCCCCCGGGGACACTCACAGCGACGATGGTCATCACCACGTTGACGGCCCCCGTGCCGGCCGTCACGTACTGGACCTGATCCTCGGCCACGCCTGCGCTCTGGTAGATCTTGTCTGCGTAGTAGTAGATCTGGAAGGACAAGGCAGGGGCTGGGAAGGGGGCGCCGCGGGAGGGCGCTGCCGTCTGCGCCTGGACACCCCCTCTGCCCCAGGGCCCGCGGCCACCCCCGTACCGCGTTGACCCCCGACAGCTGCTGGCCGGCCATGAGGGCGATGATGGACAGCAGCTGCCAGCGCAGGGACCGCATGCGGAACAGCTTCAGCACGGAGATGAAGCCCGCGGCCTTCTCCGCCTCGTCCTCCTGCCGGATCTCCTCCACCTCCGCGTCCACGGAGTCCCAGCCGCGCAGCCTCTTCAGGGCTGAGGGTGGCAACGCAGGGTGTCATGTCGGAGCCTCTGGGCACAGCCCTGCGGCCCTGAGCCCGCCCACCCAGGCCTACGTTACCGTTTTTGGCGCCCTCTTCGTCTTTCTTCTGGATCAGCAGGTAGCGCGGGCTCTCGGGGAAGAAGGGCAGCAGGAGCAGCTGCAGCGCCGCGGGCACCCCGGTCAGCCCCAGGAGGACGGGCCAGCCTGGGAGGAAGGCAGCCGCTGGCACGAGAGGCCCCCGCCCAGCCAGCCACTCTCTGCCCCGTGACGCGAGTCCCGACACAGCCTGCGTGAGGGCAGACTTGTCCTCCTCAGCCCGGACCCAGAACAGCGCCTCGCGCCTAACGGGCACTCGGGAACACAGCTCCGCCGGGTGGGAACGACCACCCCACACCCGCCGGGCGGACAAGGTGGAAAAGGCTGACAACACCAGCGTGGGCAGAGGGGAAGTCTCCACGTGTCGCTGAGCAGACACGTGGTGTCCCTTACGGCTGCGGCCCACAACCCCCGGGGGCGGACCAGGAGGTGAGCAGCGAGCGGAGCTTCATCTGTATTTGCAGCCGCTCCCCAGCGCTGGCATCACCGCACAAGCTCTGCCTCGTGTCAGGCCGGCGAGGGCGTTGGATTCCCATGGGAGCGCGAGCCCCGCTGTTCACTGCCCACGCAGGGATCTCGGTTGCGGCTCTTATGAGAATCCAATGCCTGATGAGCTGAGGCGGAGATGCTGGGGAGCGGCTGCAAATGCAGATCGTCATTAGCAGAGAGGCCTCACTGCACAGTAAATGTGATGCACTTGAATCATCCCAAACCATCCCTACCTCGCCCAGCCCCAATCCGTGGAAAAACTGTCTTCCATGAGACCAGACCCTGTTGCCAAAAAGACTGGGGACCGCTGCGTTAGAGGACAGCCTGGCAGGGCTGAGGAGCTGGGTGCACTTCCTGCCATGCCCAGAGATGCTTGTGCCCGGGCCGCCAGGACACCGGTCCTGGAACGGTCACAGCGGCACTGGCTACAGAATGAGCAGCAGAGACCACGCAGACGTGCACAGCAACAGTCCGTGCAGGGTGACACCGGGGTCGTGGGGTGCTCATAGAACGGAATTCGATGCTGCGGCGAAAGCAAAGCCTGCCACGGCAGGGACACAGCTCATGCACGCGATGCAGCGTGCAACACTCCACTGCACGATTCCGTTACCCAAAGTGCAGACATGGGTAAAATTAACCCCATCACTGCCAAAGGTGAAATGGAGGCCAAAGCAAGGAAATGACTGGCGGCACAGAGCTGCACACGCGCAGGACTCTGAGTCCCGCTGGGGGTGACCCCCTGGGACCTCGACAGGAATCTAGCTTATTCTCTTCTGGTCCACACCGTCTTAAGGTGTGGGTGAGGATGTGGCACCTGAATGTGTGCATGAGTGACAGATGGAAAGTGACGGGAAGGGAGGCCTGGACCCAGGCCTGAGCCGCCGGGCTAGTATCCTAATGAGACCGTGGACACATTCCCTGGCCCCTCCATGCCCCAGGGCCTGCATCTGTGAGCTGGGTGTCCTGATAGCACAGGCTTTGCAGGGCACGAATCAATATAAAGCCCTGGCACCTGGCCCGTGACAAGCACTTTGTCTGTCTCGCCTGGTGCGATGGTTAATGATGGTTTCCCTGTCTGAGGTTTGAGACTCGAGACAAAGAAAGGTGAGGCCACACAAAACAATGCCAGGTGCGAGTTCCCATGAGCCCAATCCGTGCCAGGCCCCGGCCCTCTTGGGAAGGTGCAGGCAGAGTCTGGGCTGTACTGACCGCCTCACCCACGGGGGCAGCAGTGGTGCTGGAGGTTCCTGTGCACCGTGCCAGGGACGCCCTAAGCTCAGAGCCTGGCACACCGGTGGCTGTCACTACTATGCCGTGGACTTCCGTATGGACAGCCACTGAGCAGTGCCAGAGAAGCCGAATCATTTAAGGCCTCCTCATCCATCTCCTGGGAAGGACTAGAAGACACCAGCCAAGCTATTGCTGCGCTTGTGTGGGGCCTGCCTCCTGCCAGACAGCACCTGGCACTGCAGACTCAGGGCAGTGGGGGGGCCCCAAGGACAGCCAGCCTATCAGAGAGGACAGAGCAGCCCGCAGGAACGCCCCGCCCTGGGGCAGTGGCTTTGGAGCAAGAGGAGGGGCCGAGGAGGGAGGGCCGGGGGTCCCGAAGTGTCCCGAACCCACCTTCTTCGCTTGCGAGGAGATTCCGGAGACCGAAGATCTGGGCCACGAGGATGCCCACAGTGATGAAGAGCTGCGGCACCACGCCGAGAGCCCCCCGCAGGTTTTTAGGGGCCAGCTCTCCCAGGTACATGGGGACAACGTTGGAAGACAGACCTGGGAGGGTTGAAAGAAAAACACCATCAGGAACAATTAGTCTGGCAGGAGCCAGCTGTGTCTTCAAATGTATTTATTCCTCCTTAGCAGTCACGTTATTTGGGCCAGAACTCTCTCAAGACTGCAAATGCCTCTTTTAATTCTTGGCCCTTTTTGCCTCCAGGGAAGAGAAAACGGACCAAAGAAGCCCATGAACAGGGCTCCTTGCTGCCGCACCCATTCTACCTGGGGCACAGGCCAGCCAGAGCTCAGGTCCTCCCCCTGCCTGGCCTGCGTCTCAGAGAGGGGAAGCCCAGCTGTGGTCCAGACACACTCGCTCCTGTCTTGCTCCCTGGGGAAGTCTGTTCATAAAAGGCCACGGGGCCTGCCCACAGCCTCGCCTCGTAGGGACAGCAGGAATAGTACCTTACACGACAAGCTAATGCAGAGATGCCTTCATACGCATTTAAGGACAAGCTATGTTTATCAATAAACATTAAACATTTCAACACATATTGTGGCATATCTGCATTTCTGGGATTTATGTAATGCCTGGACTCCTTCTGAACAACTTGTAAATTTTCCGATCATACTAGAATCTGACCCCTTTAAGAATAGGCGGAATTTAATTTTACAGACTCCGAAGCCTTTGCATGTATATTGTCCCATTCCATCCTCCAAAAAGCACACAGAGAGTCTGGGGGGTCTCTGGGCAAGAGCAGAGGGGTTGTTACCAGGTACACTACGGGACACCTAGTCTCGGGCCAAGCTGACGTTCAGAAAGACGTGGAGGCCCCGAGAGGGAGGCTCCAGCCACCCAGGGAGACTTTGGGGGACAGAGTGTGGGCTGGGGGTGGGTGTTTGACTACACTGAGACAGGAGGGACCGAAGGCCGGGTTTTCCTGCTTGGCAATTCTGCCCAAGGACATCTCTGCTTAGCGTTAGAAGAGACAGCACAGCTCCTTAATACCGACTTTCCCCCCTATTTTTCAGAGCAAAGATGGGAAGTGTCTAAAGCAGCCCGTAGTATGTCCTGGGGGTGGGAGGCCCAGGGCTGCAGAGGAAGGGCAATGCCTTCTGGAAGCACAGAGCCTGGGGGGTGCCAGCTTAGTCCCGGGCACGTGACAACGCTTCTTCATGGCATGTGCGTCTTGCCTTGATCAGGGACATAAATAAAGGGGCAAACCTTGATCAAGGACACAAAGGGGCAAACCTCGGGAGGTTTGTGAAGAGACACGATGGACTTTATGTTGGTGGACAGCAGTCTCTACTTTTACTTAAAAATGACTCCACCGGGCTCTCCAGTCAGCTTGTTCTGACACTAGAGTCACAGCACAGTGGCTTTTCAAGTTTAAATTCCTTCGAGCCAGTGAATGCCCTCAGTTTTCTGCCCAAGAAGTTGACTAATAACAGACCAGTGAACTGTGAGCCCCGGCCTGGAAGGCCGAGTCGAAGTCGCCCCTGCGCCCCCATCAGGGCAGCTGCTTGCTTCAGTGGGAGGGCGGCCTGGTGGCCCCCGGTAACGTGGGTGGCTTTAACAGGCGCGTCCAGGTCGTCGCGGGGCTTGGTGATCCGCTCCACTGACTTTTAGGACCAACTGCCCGTGGACTTTGCACCCAATGACTCGTGTTCTCGAAGCACAATCTGAGAACCTGGGGGCTCCTGAGACCTTTTAGATGTGTCTCTGAGAGCAAAACTATCTCCGAATGTGCCCGAGATGTTTTCCGCCCTTTTCATTTGTGTTCTCTTATAAGCATGCAGGAGAGTTTTCCAGAAACCACCTGCCAGGTGATGTCACGACTGACTGAACACAGAAGCTGGCCTGCTGACCCAGTTGCCTTCTATCAAGTTAGACATTAAAGAGATTTGCAAAACTGTAACGGGCTGATTTTGTAAGATGAATTGCTACATCTCTCGGCTGCCACTTCTAATGTGGTACCCGCCGGATTGGTGTAACCCACCTGCGCAGCTCTTTGGAGCCCCCATCGTTTCCAGTCTGCGAAATTCTGAGAACCACAGACTGGGAGCCACGCTTACCTAACAGCACAGGTTAGGGTTTCTAACTGAGATTTGTTATCTCTTGGAGCCTGAGATTCCTCTGTGGCAACCAATTCTGAATTATTGGTGGTCAAAGAAAAGTGGCTGGGCCTGCTCACTGCTGACAACTTTTAGGAATCATCCAGTGTTTCAAAAACCTGAGCCCCCTGCGGGGGGAACTGGAAGGCAGAGCCCCCTCTCTGGGAAAGGCCAGCACTATGTGAAGTTGGGGGCCCACCAGCCCCCCTTGCAATGACGTGGTCTCTATTCGGGAAACACTTTCTCTTCTTGTTCTCACTTCTCCGTTACTGCCCATTAACTCCAGCTGAGGGGTTTGCTGATACCTGATTGTCCCCCATCCCAGCATTAGGAAGGAGCGCATGAGAGTTCCTTGGCAGTGCTGGGACCTTGGCTGGAGGCAGGCAGGTGAGGTGGCCCAGGTGCCAGTCTCAGCAGGGGCTCACTCCCAGCCGCCCAGCCTGTACCTGCAGGCCCTGAGGTTCGCACCCTAGATGCCTCTCTGCGTCTGGCGCTGGGAAGCACTGCCTCCCGACACCAACTCGGGGGAAAGCCACGAGCGTGGCTTTAACCTCCTCTCTCTTAAAAGAGATCATGGGAGAGTTTTCTAAAACCACCGGCAGTGCAGCCTGGGCGGCTGCACAGAGCATTCATTAGGTGAGACCTCAGTAAGGAATGCGTATTCTCTTAAAAGCCCTTCGCAAACTTTAAATTGTCCTGTACGTTTGAGTTCGTTGAATTGAAGGGTTGGTGGAGCACAGACAGGGGCAGGGGTGGAGCACAGAAGGGAGGAGCAAAGAGAGGCAGGAGGGCTGGCTGAGTGTCCCCAGGGTGAGGGGCATGGGCTCAGGCCAGTGGGGCGGCCTGCCCAGGACTGGCGCTGGCTGTGGGCTTAAATTGTCCTATAAAAGTTGAGAAGTTGCTACTGTTAACACGTCCCTGGTAGAGGGATTCATATATTAGATTGTTTCTCAAGTTTTTTTGACCACGGCCCACAGTAAAAAAAAAAAATACAGAAATGCATTTTACACGCAACCTGGTTGTCCCCATACATATACAGATAATAGCTGAAATAAAAGTTTCAAAAGACAATACCTATGACACAGTGTGTTCTATTTTTAACAAGAAAATGCTGCTCACTATACAGAGGCCACCACCCACTAACTGGTCTCCACCTGTAGTTTTGAAGTCTTGCACTTCCGAAACTACTGAGATGAAGGATTGGATTGGAAGGACCCTTCCCAATTTGAGGTTCTGTCTTTTCAGTCTTTCAAAGAACAGCTTTCTTTGCAGCAAACCTCGCAGCAAAGAATGGCAGTAGCGCGGGGCACTCTTTACCTGCACATATCCCCACCAGAAGCCTGGAAACAATGATGAGCTCAAATGACTTCGCGACTTTGCTGCATCCCATTAAGATCGCAGGCACGATGGAAAATATGTTGTTGAACAGCAAGGCCCCTTTCCTGCAGAGGACAAAATATCAGTTAGTTCGGCTTAAGGATTCACTCATCCATTCAGAGGTCCGCGGAGTGTCTGCTGGGTGCCGTCTCCGCCAGTCGCAGCCGTGGGCTTCACTGCTGTACGTTTAGCACTCTGGGACCTAAGACTGACAGAGGTCAAATGACACGGGAATATTTCCTGCGTGGGAGCAAGTTAAAACGACCAAAGCCCGGGAGGGTGAGAATGGAGGGGAAGTGATCCATATTCAAATACAGTAGAAGGTTTTTTATACTTGGTCTTAGCCAAAAGGCCGAGAAGCGATTGTTACTAAAAGGTTTTTTAAATCATAAGCTAATTCATAATTTTCATGTAATCTTGAAACCCAAACCCAAAATTGTCCTGGGTAAGGACATTAGAAGGAGAAAAAAAAAAAAAAAAAAAAAAAAAGAAAAGCGTGGGCCAATCTCACTTATGGCAACACAGATGCAAAAATCCTAAATGAAATATTAGCAGATTGAATTTAACAGCACATATAAAAATATTTCAATATTCAATATTTTCACCATATTAAAGATCATACTGGGGAAAAATATAGGACTAGCTCAATGGAGGTAGCAAAAATAAGTCAATAAAATTTAATGTACTATGATTTAAAAAAAACAAAAAAACAGCCTTAACAAAACAGGAGAACTCTTTAGAGGAATCTATTAAAACATCCTATGGGCCAGGCCGCGGTCGGGTTCCAGTTGTAAATCCTAGCACTCTGGAGAGGCCACGGCAGGCAGATTGCTCGAGGTCAGGGAGTTCTAACCAGCCTGAAGCAAGACGCGAGACCCGTCTCTACTATAATAGAAAGAAATCTATTTGGCCAAATAATATATATTAGAAAAATTAGCTGGCATGGTGCGCTATGGCCTGTAGGTCCCAGCTACTCGGAGGCTAAGGAGCAGTATTTTGCTTGAGAGCCCAGGAGGGTTTGATGGTTGGCTGGGAGCTAGGCTGACGCCATGGCACTCTGGCTTGGCAAGGAGAGTGGAGACTCTCTCAAAAAAAATAAATAAATAAATAAATGGAATAGTAAAGGAACAGGATTAATCTAAGATAAATTTGAGAGCAATGGACTTTTCACTTGGAAAAAATTAACTTAGTGCTCTCTCTCATCATTCAGTATATACAAAATAAAATTCCAAATCTGGGAAAAAACAAAATTGTAAAATTAACTTTAAAAATATAGAAGCACTGCATGTACTATTAGTCCTACTGTAAATAGGTTTGTTCTTGGCGCGGCGCTGTGGCTCCGCCTGTAATCCTAGCTCTTGGGAGGCCGAGGCGGGCGGATGCTCAGGTCAGGAGTTCAAAACCAGCCTGAGCAAGAGCGCGAGACCCGCTCTTCTACTTAAATAGAAAGAAATTAATTGGACCAACTGATTATATATATAAAATTAGCCGGCATGGTGGCGCATGCCTGTAGTCCCAGGCTACCGGGAGGCTGAGGCAGAAGGATCACTCAAGCCCAGGAGATTGAGGCTGCTGTGAGCTAGGCTGACGCCACGGCACTCACTCTAGCCTGGACGACAAAGTGAGACTCTGTCTCAAAAAAAAAAAAAAAAAAAAAAAAATAGGTATGTTTAAAGTAAAGCAACTCGAAACTCTACACAGGGCTTGTTTTCCAAAGAAGAAGTATTGTTTAGGGAGCAAAATATTAGCCCTGTACCCCTATGCTGTCTGTAAAACTGTTTTGAAAAGTGAGGCTTGTGAATAGAAATGTAGTGCCCGAGTCACAATCCACTTAAAACTTGTATCAAATACAGATAAGTTAAAAAAAAAAAAAAGTATAGAAGCATATCCTTAAGACTCTAGGAAGGCTGTCTTAAAACACAAAAAGCAAAAAACATAAATTTGAGCACTTAAAATATTAAAATTTTTGCATAAAAAGATGCTGTATGTATGATTAAAAAATAAAGCAATATATTGTGAAGATATATGCCCAAAATAACAGAAGTACAGTGTAGAGTTCACTTCTATGCATGTACAAGTAACATCTACAATCTGCTTATGAACAAGTTGCTCTGTGACGTCCATGGAATTTACATTAGGGAGTGTCATGCCTTAGGAAAACTTTCTTGGAATAAAATACAGAATTTCTAATATTTCTAAAAATAGAGGCAAATATAGCCCTGACTCCGCTGTTTGCTCAGGACACAGAGAGACGTCCTAGGATGACACTGAGTCACACCAAAGTGCCTGACATTAATCTCAGACCTTTCAGAGATTTATAGGAATTCAGTTTGGGCTACACTTTGCATATTACCTGGTCCTAAGGTAAAAGAGAGCAGGAGAGAAGATCATTGTGTTAGTAGTCTATATTGAGCGTTCAAGAACACTAGGTCACGATCTGCACTGTGACAAACACTTTGGCCAAGCTTTTCAGTGTCTGAGAATTTGTAAAGGCAGAAAAATCAAGAAAACAACTGGCTCCTGGTTTTGGTAAGGAAAGTACCTTCGGGGTGAAAGAGCAGAGAGCTTCAAAGTGAGTCCTGGGTCTTGGTAAGTACCGTGTTTCCCCGAAAATAAGACAGGGTCTTATATTTATTTTTCCTCAAGAAGACACCTTAGGGCTTGTTTTCAGGGGATGTGTTATTTTTTTTTAAGTACAGTACAACAATCTACATTTATTCAGATATAGTCAAGTCGTCTTCTTCTGGAACATCATCATAACTCTCCAAACCCCGAATTCCATCCTGAATTTCTTGCGACTCTATTTCCTTTAGAACCACTGGCCCCAATCTCTCATGTTGGGCAATAGAGCTCTCATGGGGCAGATGAGAAGGGCTGCTCATCTTCTTTCCCGCTCAGTGACGACATGCACGGGTTGTGCAGATGTGCCGCGTGGCCACGCCCACCACTAGGTCTTATTTTCAGGGTAGGGCTTCTATTGCGCAAATGCTTAGAAATCCTGCTGGGGCTTATTTTATGGGTAGGTCTTATTTTCGGGGAAATACGGTACGTGGGGATCTTCCCACTTCTGCGTGAGAGCTGGGGATCTTCGGCCACCCCTGCTTCTAACCCCTGAGACTTTGCCTCGGTCCCCAAACACCTAGTCAACGTCTGGCCCTCTTTTTATGACCCCATTAGATAATAAACATGACCACAGTGATTGGTTATTGCCCTAGCATCACGATGAAGATTTCAGTTTTAGGTCTACATTTAAATCTCCGATGAGTTTCAGGGAGTTAAAAACTTCACTTTCCCTCACCTGCCAAATGTATTCACCAGGGGGCCGACCAGGAGGGATCCCACGAGGCCTCCGGCGGGAAACATGGACACGGTTAAAGACCACAGCAGCATCAAGGGGAAGGACTCCATGTACTGGCCGGTTCTGTCATAGTGGGTTTTGTTGTAAAATTGTTGCATGAACTAGGGAACAAAGCAAAACAGGACACCAAGATGATTTGATCTCGCAGAAAGAGCAACGTAAACTGCCAGGCCACCCGGTGGGATGACCTGGGCACATAAAAGATTGGTGTCGCTAGCCGGGCGCGGTGGCTCACTCCTGGAATCCTAGCACTCTGGGAGGCCGAGGCGGGCGGATCGCTCAAGGTCAGGAGTGCAAAACCAGCCTGAGCAAGATCGAGACCCCATCTCTACTAAAAATGGAAAGAAATTAATTGGCCAACTAAAAATATACAAAACAAATTAGCTGGGCATGGTGGCACATGCCTGTAGTCCCAGCTACTCGGGAGGCTGAGGCAGGAGGATCGCTTGAGCCCAGGAGTTTGAGGTTGCTATGAGATACACTGACGCCATGGCACTCTAGCCCAGGCAACAGAGTGATAACTCTGTCAAAAAAAAAAAAAGATCGGTGTTGCTAAATAGGGGAAAGGGAGTCAGGACGAAGCTTCGAGAGCAGCAGGTTAGCCACAGAACCCATGGGGAAAGCTGCGAGGCCTCAGATTGGCAAACCGCCCAGCGCATTTCTCAATCCAGAAAGGAAGGACTCCAATTTTCCCGTTAGCTGGGAGGGGGGGAGGGCGGGGATCCCTGCTCCCTCCAGACTCTTCTAGCAATTGCAAGGCCACAGGTCAGAGCCCTCTCCTGGAGTCCAGCCCACCATGTGTCCAGCCGGACATGTCCCGGGTGCCCTCCAGGAGAAGCTCAAGTCTGGGGACCTGGGTCTCCCCAAGGGCCCTGTGCCTGCAATGAGCATGTCTCCCTCTCCCTCCACCCGAACATCCCCGGTGTGCACTCACTGTATACACAGCCACATGTTGGCCCGCCACGCCTGGCCACGGGCTGCTCCAAACCTCCCTCCCTGTTTATTCAGGAGCTGAATCTCACTCACCATAGCAACTTACCTCTGCTGGGGAGTTGACAGCGGCCACATTGTACCCATACTGGAAGGACGAGCCAAAGGCAGCGATCAGGGTTGCCAAGGCAAGCACAAGTGTCAGCCTCTGCAGAGAGATTATGGGCTTTGGTCAGGAAGCGGCCCCAGGGGTCCAGGGACCTCCCGCTTTCCTTCAAAGTCTGGCAGGAAGCTGCGATCGAATCTGAAGATCTGTAGTCGTTCAATGACTCCCTACCCACCGTGGGTTTCTCGACCATGGCAGGTTTGACATTTGGGATCTGACAATTCCTTGTTATGGGAGGCCGTCCTGTGCCTCGTAGGATGTTTGCAGCATCTCTGGCCTCTACTCACTGGATGCACTAGCATCCCTCTCCCTGCCTGTGACAACCCAAATGTCTGCGGACATTGCTGATGTCCCTGCTGGGGAACTGCCCTCAGTTGAGAAACACAGGGCCAGAAAAAAACGGAAACCTACCACTCCAATACTCCATATAATGCTTGAAGAGTTTCAGTGACATCCTGCTACACCGCTGTATTTGCTAACTACAGCAAACGGGCTCAAAGGTACACTCCAACAAGTCTTAAAAATTTTAAACAAGTCCAAAAAAATCTTTAAAATTTTAATTATTTAGAGCCACTGACAAATCTCATTTAGCCCCTGCACCCTTGCCTCTAAGAGGTACAGGGCACACTGGAAAAAATATTTGAATATAGATCTCTGGGGACTCTTAACTCAAACAATCTGTGTTATCAGTAATATCGTCCTTGCACAAGAAGGAATTCGTTAGTAAAGTAATGAAAAGAGGGAGAAAAATAGGCCCAGAAAGGTCTTTGCCCTTAGCATCTGCACATCTCATTTGGGGCTTGCCCACGGCCGCTTTCTAGCTTAATTTCTATGCTCTTCAGTTTCCTCATCTCCAAAGTGGACAGTCACACTCGGTCAGAGTCATTGAAGGATTGAGTGTGAGCATGTCCAGCCGTATAGAGTTGGATCTGCTGCGGGGAGTGGGGGGGGCGAGCTTGGGGTGCTGCTCGCTGAGTCCCCCATTGAAGCCCCTTGGTTCACCACTCTGGACGAGACCTCCTGCACGCGGGACAAGGGCTCGTGCTCAACCCTTCCGGGCCCCTCCGATGGCAAGCTGGGGTCTTCACATCTTCGTCTGGGTACTGTACCACTGCAGCTAAGAGGACCTCTCGAGAGGGGCACATGAGGAGGCAGGACAGGAGAGAAACAGGGGTCCTTCCTGCCACAGGGCAGGATGGAGGTGGTCCTGGCAGAGTGGCCCCGGCAGAGAGCAGCCCCCAATCCCCAACCAGCTTAACTGTGACTATCATCTCACAATGCATATGCATATCAAAACATCATGTTGTACACTGTGTATACACACAGTTTTTATGTCGATGGCATCTCACAAAAAGCTGCTAAAAAAAGAGCAAAAACATAAGTGAAGCTTTACCCTTCTCCTTTGACTGTGACATTCTTCTCCTTCCATCAAACGAATTAACAAATGGTTAATTCATTAACAATTCATTAATTAACTTATTAAGGACTGAACTGGGGGCTGATTCAGCAGGAATGAGGTTTCTTGGTGAGGAAGATGGCAGCCTCGGAGGCAGCCCCCAAGGGGCGGCGAACTTGGGCCTCAGTGTCTCTGGGGGCCGCAGGGGAACAGGTGAAGGGGCACAGGGGATACACATGCGAACAAAATAGACAAAATCCCTCCCCTACAGCTGTTTTATGGCTTGATTTTGTTAGAAAGAAAGAACAAACAAAAGTAAAGGAGAGAAAGAGATATATAAAATGTTGATTAAAAAGTTCTCATCTTCTAATTCTCTTTCCAGCAAGACAAAAATGCAACAGGTGAAAATACAACAGGTTTTGTTCCTACAGCCAAGAAGATCAACTCCTGACCACTCTCTCAGTACTTGCTTGCTTTGTCTTTTTTTTTTTTTAACTTTCCAGGATGGGGAAGAGAAATCTTGGACTGGGCTGGGTGGGAGGGGAGCGGTGGGGCTGGGGGGAGGGGCGGGGCTGGAGGGCGCGCGCTGCAGGTCTCGTCAGTTTGCAAAATTGGAGAAAGGCCGCTGGAGTCCGCGCCATGATTGAGCATGTTGGGCTCTGGGTCTCCCAGCTAAGGGGATGGGGTCCCACCTGATAGCCCTGTCCCTCTACGGCTTCGACTATGTGAATTGTATCAATATGAGTATCTTTAATGTCTAATAGGATAAAATTTATGATTAAACGTCTTATTCAGATTGGAATGCTAATGGTCTTCCTCTAATATGCTAGGTCCTGGTGCAGCATTGGTCCGCAGCAGTCTCGCTGAATTTTTTTGTACAAGCGTTGTCAGTCCCATCCACCCTTCAAGTCAGAAACCCAGCTTGCTCTGGCTGCGCTCTGGAGTTGTAAGCTGAGTGGCCAAGCAGTCCGCCCCAGAGCCACACTAGACACCGCAACTCACCACCCTGCAGCTCAACAACACACAGCAATCACAGGATCGTTGCTATTCCCGAACCAGCGTCGCCAATCCATCGCCACACTACTTTTGGGCATCCACTCCTCTTCCTGACCTTGTCGTTTTTTTTTTCTTACAACACAAACAACAAACCAAACAAAAAAAAAAACCAAAAACTCAGCCTCTTCCTTCGCCATGTTTCCCCAGCTTCAATCCTCAATTTCGGCACCAGATAAACTCTGCCACTGATTTGCGTCCCTCGGGAACCTGCCTCTCAGTTTCCGCCTCAGAGAGACGCTCTGTTCCAGACTTTCTCCTCAGGGGTCTCGGTCATGACTGCCACACATATCCCTGGAAGTCAGCTCTTTGAATTCTTAACACTTTAGTCACTTGATCACGACGACCTGAACTCAACAGTTTCACAAACTGGCAGCATAGGAGGAGATAAACCGTCCACACATTTAGAGCCTAGAGGTGGTGTGAGAGGCCAGCAGTCACCCAGCAGGCTCCTTATCTTGTCACTGGGGTTGGTTTAAGAGCAAGCTCTGGAGCCCAGGGGCTGTGGTGCTTTGTGCAATTTACGGGGCTTACTCTGTGCCTCAGGTCCCTTCTCTATTTATTTATTTGTTTACGTGTATTTTTTTAGAGACGAGTCCTCGCTTATGTTGCCAGGCAGAAGTGAGATGCCGTTGGCGCACCCAGCTCACGAGAACCCTTCAAACTACCTGGGCTCGGGAGCAATCCTCACTGCCTCAGCCTCCCGAGTAGCTGGGGCTACCAGGCGCACGACCCACCATACGCCCGGCTAATTTTTATAACGATATATTATTTGGCCAATTAATTTCTTTCTATTTATAGTAGAAATGGGGTCTCACTCTTGCTCAGGCTGGTTTCGAACTCCTGGCCTCGAGCAATCCGCCCGCCTCGGCCTCCCAGAGTGCTAGGATTACAGGCGTGAGCCACCGCGCCCGGCCTGGAGAGGGGGACTTTATCCAACAATTCTTACGTGGCTGTAGAGTGCTTTGTTGTCTATCTTTTTATTTTTTCCCCACCCATTTTATTTTCTTTCTGGCCAAAAGTCTCTTTTCCTGTTAGAAAGTCCCTGATGCGCATCTGACAGATACCGGGTTTTTTTTCTCTCTACATGTGAGAAGAGCAAAGGCCAGTGAGGCCACGGTCACACAGCCACTGAGGGACAGAGGGACAGTGAGCTGGGCCCTCCCACTGCCTGGCAGCCTCCTCACCAGACCGTGCAGCCTCCGCACGCCCCTCCTTTCTCCTCGGCTGCTAAATCCCCTGCCAGCTTCACTTAATGACCCTCCAGATTCCCACAAGCCACTGGACAGCTTTGTTTTGAAGTCCCCCGAGAAGTCCGGCGTGTGCCCTGGCTCTCTTCCCAAGGGGCAGGCTGCCTTCAGGAAGGGGAATCTCATCTCCGATTTCACCTTGCCTGGCCGGGCAGAAGGCTTCCCTCCCCAGAGAGCCGAGTTAGCCCAGGATCAGCCCGCATCTCTGCAGATGGCCATTTGAATCGTTTCCTTTCAGGGCTTGCCCCACGTGGGCATTTCCTTTCCTTTCTGCAGCTGCACCGGGGGGCCTGGTGGTCACTGCCCTTCTGTCTGGCAGAGACCAGACCAGGACCTCCCAAACACCTGAGTCTCATCATCTCAGTTTCTTTTCTATAGAGTAGAGGAGATAACACTTCATCTAGCACTTTCCTAGTTGCCAGACTCAAACAAGATAATCCAAGTGAAGGTGCTCAGTAAGCCCTAAGGCAGTGGATTCTGCCCTCTAGGGGACATTTGGTTGTCACACCTTGGGGAAGGTGCTACTGGCATCTACTGGGTAGAGGCCAGGGATGCTGCTAAACATCCACAATGTGCAGGGCAGGCCCCCCCCCCCACAGCTGAGAATTATCCAGCGACAAGTGTCAACAGTGTCTCTAAAGGGTAATGGTGAAGTAAGATTCACAGGAGAATTCACTATGTGCTAGGCACTTCGCATACATTATTTCATTTCATTGTGCCAGCACTCAGTGAGGTGATATGGCTATTATTCCCACTCTACAGACGAGAAAACTGAGGCACAGAGGAGTTAAAGAAGTTGCCCAAGTTCTGGAGCTAGAATAGGATGGAGCAGGGATGAATCCTAGGCGATCCTACCTCCCAGACCCACTCTTCACCTGTGCCCTGCAGAGCGTGTTTCCAGCCTGCCCATGGCCTGGGTCTCACGTCCATGCCTGAATAAGGACTATTTTGCACAAATGTATATTCCTCTTCCCCCACTCTAAATATAAGCCGATGCTATCAGGATGAATAAATTGTCAATAAATCCCTTAAAGCGTTCATAAATCCACGTTGCCTTTCTGTCATTATCCATTTCCCTCAATCAAGAGCATCTAAAAAGTAAACTGCAATTATATGGTGGGAGGTCCACAAAAATCTTTGGTCTCTAAAAAAAAAAGGGTAGCCTCATCATCTAAAAGGTAGGGAAGCTCTGAGACAGATTCAAACTGAATTAAAGTCTAGCAGCACCTTTTCTGAGTTTATCTTGTTTTCATGCAGCTCAGCTATGTTACTTGCTGAAAAGTTTAATGCTCTGAAGCCAAAATCAAAACAAAACAAAACAAAACAAATCTCTCCAAATGTGTAAGCATTTTGTCACCAAACACATTTGGTCGAAGTTGGGACAAATTAACAATTTGAGTCTCTTTAATTCGGTGACAGGTACTGCTTTTAAAGGATGTTCCAGTAGAACGATTCCCAAAAGAGCACTTGTCTCTAAACCTCTCCTCTCCCCTCTGTACAAGTCCAGCTGCTGGGTGGACTCTGAGGGGCAGGTCCCCTGAAATGACCCCTTCTAGCACAGAGCTCCCTCTGCAACACCAGGAGCCCCCAGGGACTCTCCAGGAAGGCTGCACAGGCCCTGGCAGTGGGGGCTGCTCTCGGCCCCTTCACTGGGCAACGCACTCACCCCATCCGTCTTGAACTGAGGCTGTTGCTCCATCTTTGCTCTGGAAGAGCAGAGTGCTGTGTGCCTCCTTCTAGCCAAAGTAACAAACTCGCTAGATGGAGGGAGAAGACATTCTGGGTGCACTTTGGCCACGCGGAGTAACAGCCAATAGCATTTTTATAGCCAGTCCAAGTCAGAATAACCCTTTCAGGAACCTTGTCTTCCTTTCGCTTCTGCTTTTCAATTAAATGTCTGGGGTTTGACTAAGCAAGTGGGTGCCCCCTGGAGACTGCAGGCCCGGCCCCGTCCTGATTGGAACAGTCTGCGGCATTTCCTCATTGCTAAAGCCTCCACCCGACAGGCTCGTGGTGAGTGAGTGGAAGGGTTATTTCTGACAGCAACAAGTGGAAAGCAACAGCTGTGTTGTCACTGACCCTACCCCACTAGGTAACACCGGGACAGCAGACGGGGTCAACTGAGACTTCATAGAGGCTGTCCCTGCCAGGAAGCCTGCAGCCAGATCTCCCTAGTGGGGACTCAGGTTTTGCCCAAATAACGTGCAACTGGGAGAGTTTCCTGCTTTCCTTTTTAAGGAACTCAGAGTGGCCCAGAGATGCTATTTTCTGTGTATGCATCACTACTGGGAAATTAGTAAATACTACCTCCAGCTCCCTGGAGAAAGTGAGTCACAGATGCTGGTCCCGGTCCGGCCAGCTCGGGGACCGGCCAGCACCAGCCAGCACCAGCCGCCTGATCTCGGCACATGTTTGGCTGCCCTGGGGCACGCCAGGTCAAGTGGCCAAAATCTAGAGCAACATCTCACAAGTTCCACACGTTTTCATCTTGATAGGACACACTCCCTGTTTTATTTGCTGTGGCACCAGTCCAGGCAATTGAGTGATTCAGTCCTCTCATTCATAGTCAGTGCCTGGGAGCGCACGACGTGTTCGGTACTGTTCCTGGCAACCCCAGCAAACTCCAGAATCACGGCCAGGGCTCCTGGGTGCGGGAGACAGCGAGGATGACGTGCACCAGCCTCTGTGCGTGTGCGCTGGGGGGCGGGGGCTGTCCCTATTCACAAGGGAGGACCCAGCATTTATTTCCTTTCACCAAGTTCGCTTGCTGTCTTGCTGCTTCTGTGTCACGGCCCTAAGACCGTGCTTTGCAAAGAAGATGCAGCAAGACCAGAGATTTCCAATTATTCCAAAGACTTTGAAAAAGTCTCCAAAGAAAATGCACTTTAATGGGGGGGGGTAGGGGTAGGTCAACTATTGGGGGTGAAAGGCACAGGGGACGGGTTGGGCAACCAACCAACCAACCGTTGATTGGTTGACCAATCAACCAATCAACGTGCAGAGTTTGCAATCATCAGTCTTGCCAAATGCAGAGAAATCAAGAGACCGGCTTCTTGGCCCAGATCCCCCACTTCTCCCTGCTTTTGGGCGATGAGAACTGAGGTGTCCGTAGCGGACGCCGCCCTCCCAGCCCCTGACTCGACTTCCCGGATGTGCGGGGGTGGGGGAGGGGGGAGTGGTCGGGCCCACAGGCCAGGAGGTGGGGCCGCAGTACCTGGGGCTTGCCGGGCTCAGGCACATCCATGGCGGCGTCACCAACGCTCACCCGGCAGTTTTCGGGGCCTCAGCGCTGGAGGCCGCGGAGCGTGCGGCGGGGAGCGCGGCGGCCCTCGTGTGTCCCTCCGCCTGGCGGGCCTGGGACAGCCCCCACCTGGGCCTGTTTCCTCCGCCCGCCCGGCTCCTCCCGTCAGGCCGGGCTCTTTGCGCTCCACACGGACCTGGGAGCTCGGCCGGTGGGGAGCGGCCCAGGGTGGGGGGCGGGCACCGTCCCTGCCGGGGTCCTTCCCCCGCCTGGATCCCCAGACCCTAGGTGTGCGGCCTAGGCCCTCGCCCACTGCAGGCGACCTTTCTTTAGGTTTTCAGGGCTTCCATATTTATGTGTCACCCACCAGCGCTGCCGCGGGGGTCCACAGCGATGGCAGATTCTGGTGCTGAGCCTCGCCCCAGCCCTGCCCTGCCCTGCCCTGCCCCTGCCCTGCCCTGCCCCAGCCCTGCCCCAGCCCTGCCCTGCCCTGCCCTGTCCTGCCCTGCCCTGCCCTGCTTCTGCCCGGGGCCAGGCGGGGAGCCTGCCCCGGGAAGCCTATTTTCCCTGTGGGGTATTACATGACAATAATAAACTGATTAACCCAAGGACTTTTTGGTTAATTAAAGATAGCAGGCTGGGGTGTGTCTTGGGAGCACGTACGTTTCCAAGAAGCTGATGTGTTTTGAAACCACTTCTGGTGAAAGCCAAAAAATCACTTTAAAAGGAAAAGCAGTTACAGGACCAGTGCTGAGTGCTGACAGGCTCTCTCTCCCCTGACTCTTCCCCGCTCTACAGTTTGGTTTCTCATGGGGAAATGACATTAGGATTTTGTCATTGTGGGAAAGAAGTTCCGGAAGAGAGCCAATTTTCCTCCTCCTCCTCCTCCCCCCCTCGGGCCACAGCTTTGGTCCTCTTAACCTCTCGGGTTAGATCGAGTTTGAATGGGGAAAGTGCTTGGCCAAGAGATCCCAGTTCTAATATCATCACCACTAACACAAAATGTAAACATGAATGTCAACACACAATTTTAGAACACTTAGGATCTGGAAACATGAGATTATGGATAATTCTGGAATGTGAGATAATTTTAATTTCAGCAATATATTAATATTTCCATTTATTGAACCTCCTGCTGTATTCGAGGGGAAATACAACAGGGTGCAAAAATAGTCTTGGCCTCGTGGGGCTTAGACTCTAGTTGGGGAAACAGAATTTAGTCCAATCAGTAAAGTACAGTGATGAATTTATTATTATTATTATTTTTTTATCCAGCATATTGCGGGGGTACAAATGTTAAGGTTAGGTATATTGCCCTTGCCCCCCTCCTCCCTACTGATGAATTTTTTAACTATAAAAGGCGTTTGAAGCTGTGGTGGGGAGGGGGACAGGGTGGAGCTGCTCAGGGAAGCCTTCCCTGCAAAAGTGACCTTGAGCAGGGATTGGGAGGATCAACAGAGTTTAAAGAGGCAAGGGAGGGTGGGGATGGGCGGTAGAGAAAGCTTCCAGATAGGGAACAGTATGTGCCAAGGCCCTGTGGTAGAAGAGAGTGTGGCCACGGGACACAAAGCAGAGTGGAAGCACGTGGGAGGAGGCTGGTGTGAACTAGAATAAATTTTAAGGCTCACCTCCCCACCAGCTGACTAAACGGAACCCCTCCAGGCCAAAAGAATATCCTAAAATTAAATTGCCTGCCAGGAGGAAGGAAGTCAGACATCCCTTATCATGCCCCCCTCCCTTCTTGGGGACATCCTTTGGAACTCATTAACAGCCCTAAGGGTTTGCAAGACAAACCTACAGATCCTCAGTTTACAGGACAAATATGTCAGGTGTCTTATCTCTGATAAACAGCTCCTATGATAAAACACTGCAAGCCTTTAGACAAAGCTTCATGTCTTACACCAATTACAAGCCAAAGAATCTTTAAACCCACCTTTTTGGGCCAAACCAAGGTGTGCCTCCCATGTATTGATTTATGACTTTACCTGTAACCCCTGTCTCCCTGAAAGGTATAAAACCAAACTGTAACCCACTTGCTCAAGGCTTCTTGGGTGTGGCTCCGGGTCATGGTCCTCAAATTTGGCTCTGAGTAAATCTCTTTAAAATTGGTGGCTCATGGAGTTTGAGGTTGCTGTGAGCTAGGCTGACGCCACTCTAGCCTGGGCAACAAAGTGAGATTCTGTCTCAAAAAAATGTAAAAATTATTTTACAGAGTTTGGGTTTTTTCCCCCATTGACACTGGGAAGGTGGGCAGGGCCAGATTATATTTAGCACTTGTAGATCATGTTGAGGAGCTAGCTTTTTGTTCTAGGAGCATAGGGAAGGCTTTAAGAGTTTGGGAGAGTGTTTAAGTGTTTATGAGTTTGGAGAGTGGTTTTTTTGAGACAGAGTTTCGCTTTGATGCCCAGGCTAGAGTGAGTGCCGCCGTGTCAGCCTAGCTCACAGCAACCTCAAACTCCTGGGCTCAAGCAATCCTCCTGCCTCAGCCTCCCGAGTAGCTGGGACTACAGGCATGCGCCACCATGCCCGGCTAATTTTTTCTATATATATTAGTTGTCCAATTAATTTCTTTCTATTTATAGTAGAGACGGGGTCTCGCTCTTGCTCAGGCTGGTTTGGAACTCCTGACCTCAAGCGATCCTCCTGCCTGGGCCTCCCAGAGTGCTAGGATTACAGGCGTGAGCCACTGCGCCTGGCCCATGTCTGTGCTTTTAAAGTTCACTTTGGCTGCCCAGGGGACAGGGACAACTCGATGAGGGGACAAGAGACCACTGGATTTGGCAATGGGGTGAGAGAGAGGTGGAAGTTTTTTGCTGTAGACACATTTGAGAGATATTTAGCATGTAAATTTGACAAAACTTGGTGATTGACGGGATAGGGGAGGGGAAATAGCAGTGTTCTGTTACTGTTGTAATAAGAAAACAGGAAATAAAAATTATCTTTCCAAAAGTAAAGCTTTTCAGAATTAAAAACAAATGTTTTAATAAGATAAATTTAACTAGGACCTAAAATGTTAGATTAGCACCACACCACACAGCAGGCTGGCAAACCTCTGGGCTGTTCTGAGAGCAGACAATGATGCCAGGACTTCAGTCACTGCTGATCTCACCTCTGCTCAGAATGTTCTGGAATTTTTAAAGTTTGCCACCAACCTCTATTGTACAGACTGCTAGTGTTTGCCCCTCCCCATCCACAAATCCAATTGATCAGTCCCCCTTCTACAGTGATAGAATTGTGGGCAAGACCTGGGCTGCCCAAAATAAAGACATTTCCCCATCACCCTTGCACTTGGTACAGAGATATGACAAAGTTCTATTTAATGCAATGCATGCAAAAAAATGCCATATAGTGGCTTCCAGAAACCTTTCCTCTTTGTCCCTTTCTCCATCCTGCAGCTGCCTGGAATGTGGCACTTGAGCCCAGGAGTCTGAGGTTGCTGTGAGCTAGGCTGACGCCACGGCACTCACTCTAGCCTGGGCAACAAAGCAAGACTCTGTCTCAAAATAAATAAATAAAAAATACACACTTTTACCTTGAAGTACAGATAACCAGTAAAGTCTTACAAGGTATCTTCCAAGGACATACAGTTTATTTTTATTTATTTATTCATTTATTTTTTTAAAAAAAACAAGAGTCTCGGGCCGGGCGCGGTGGCTCACGCCTGTAATCCTAGCACTCTGGGAGGCCGAGACGGGCGGATTGCTCAAGTTCAGGAGTTTGAAACCAGCCTTAGCAAAAGCGAGACCCCGTCT